CGTCATCCATCATGATTAGGAGCTTCTTAGCTCTAACAATGAAAAAAATCCATCCACTACTAAAAAACGTGATCAATCATTAGTTATGGAATCACCGTAAGCCATACGCAATATGCAGGTATTTGATTGCAGACATGCATGCTCATCCGGTCATCCATAAAACAATGAAGAGACGGGAGGAGGGGGATCGCTAGACACGTTGTGGAATTACATAAGGAGTGAAAATCACATTGTTACTGGTTAGAATAGAAAAGTCAAGAGAAAGATAAAGAGATGGAGAATTAATTGCTATAGACTTCCCGGAAGCCGATGGCGGAAGGCATGCATCCGTCGGTAGTGAGATGGAATAGAGTGGGCGGAGAGAGGGAGTTCGACCTCGTTTCTGTGCTACCAATTGCGCAGCGGGAAGGCATCCGACGGCGTGTCATGGGTCGTATAAGAGAAGAAATTGGGAGTTTAAAAAATTCAAGTTAAAAGACGGATACACCCATCCGATTTATGCGGGCTGGCGAGAGGGAGCTGACGTGTCAAAACAAAGATTTTGACATTCGCTTATATGTTTGTGTAAATCCCTATAAGACTGAAACAAAACACAAAATAAACAACTAAAACAAAATCATAAAGTAGAAGAAAACATTAATTTTTTTTTTTAACATAGACAAAACGAAAAATCGTTTAGTCACATAGTCAGAGAACAGAAAACAACCACGCGCGGAAGTCGACAACTCGTCGAACTTCCGATGAAAGGGCTTGTTTTGCCACAAGATGGGCAGCCCTGTTAAACCTGCGAGAAGCAAAAGAACAAGAACAGAACTCGAAACCCCTTGCTAGCCTGTGAACATCCTCGAAGAGGGCTCCTCCCGTAGCATGGTTACGCTCTCCAGCCAGCAACCGCCGAACCACCAGTTGAGAATCACCATAGAAGTTAATATGCAAAAAACCGTGTGTTATACACCAGTTCATTGCATCCCGTAAGGCCAAAAGCTCCATCAAGAACGGATCGTGAATTCCTTCATAGAACTTACCGAGCGCGAACAGTAAGGAACCATTCCGATCAAAGCCTACAAATCCCGAACTCCCCCCAGAGGATCGTTTGGTTGCCCCATCAAAGCGGACAGTAATGGCCAGCTCGCGTCCCTGGACTTCCGCACCTGACCTGCAAAAAAGCACCCCAGAATTCGATGCTGCAGTAGCTTGCTGATCAGCGTTTCCGGCACTAGGGCCCCCGCGCGGCAACGGTGAATTAGAGGTGGCTGCCCTCCATTCCTCCACCTGTGCCTTATACTGTCGAAGAAGTGCTGGGGCAAGATACTGAATGCCTCCATGAACAAGAAAACATTAATTACTTACCCAGTAAAATTGAAACGACATTTTACCAACTTAAAAGATTAAATCCCTACACTTACCACAATAATTAAATGACAAAAATTCTCACCTCGGCCATAAAAACCCTCACCTAATAACAACTAATAAGACACCCCAAAATGACATTCAATATAAAATTAAATAATTATTTGATGAGTCCTACCTTGGGTCTCCTTGATCATAATTACGCAGTTCTCAAAATTGAAGGATTGAAGTGAAGCTCGAAGAAAGAACATGTAGGTATTTAGGTGTTTGTGTATGGAACTTTCGTGCAATCTTTCATAAGGAGGAAGACTCGAGAAGTATAGATAGAAGCTAGACCACAATCAATGTGTCTAATTGATCGATACAAGCAATCAAGCAACTTACAATCCACTAAGCAACTCAAACAATTCACGAAACAAAGCTCAATGAACCCAAAATCAAAGGTTTGTATTCAATCAATCGAAATCTTCCTTACAATGCGAAAGGAAAGGGTTTAAATAGAACTCAACTAAGCTACCATCTATAAATGACGGCCTAAGTATAATGGAACTCGAAAATCAAACTCAAAACTAACAAAGAACAGAAATCCTAGTGCAATCAGGAAACAATTTGCTTGGTGCAAGATAGAATTTCCAGGCTCCATACAATCTTGCACACGTTCGTTCAAAGCCTTAGAGGTATGTTCTTGATCATCCAATTCCTTTAGGTTGCTCAAAAACTCTGGTACTTTCACGTACCAACCCCCTTTTACTTTTGACTCTTCCCCTCCAGATCGAGTAAGCCCTCAAAGTAGGGTACTCGAACATAGTTCCAGACTTGGCCAAAATTGGGCAGTTTCTCGATAGCTTCATAGCATCTTCAACAAGTTCGTTAATGGCCTTAGGAGATTGTTCTTGTGCAAACCAACCTTCAGAGATGTAGTTTAACACTTTCTCTTCAATTTCTAACCTTCCTTTTGCATTTTCACATAACCATTTGGGAGATATGAATCCCCAAAATAGGCACCCTGAAACATGTTTGACACTTAGCCAAATTACGTCTCTCTTCTTGCCAACTTAGATTGCTTCTTAGGCAATCAATAGAAACTTGTATTGTTGGCTACTTGGGATCATATCAGGCCCCTCCCTCTTCAAAAAGTTTTGACCTCAAAACTTGAAGTCTCCTGTGTTCAAAATCCTCACTGAACGACTCCCAAACTGGATCAAAAGCAGCATACTTGCACTTCCCTTTCGTCAGATTTGGGAGTTTATTTTTGGAGAATCCCCAACCTAATTCGTTGTTCCCGTGCACTTCGCCAGACTCCCAATTGAAGTTCTGAACCATTCGCCAGTCTTGACTCACCTCCTTCTTTGTCGAATCTACCAATCTTCCTTTTCTGCCATCGTCGGAATTTAAAATTTTGTTACTTCGAATTTCCAATTCGATTTTGGGCTTTTCTAATTGAGGCATTATTGAGCTGAATTGAGTGTTCCTACAGCTTCCTGATAACTTCCTTGATGATTTTGCATCAGCCGATTGGATTGAATCGACCTCGATCTCTCCAACCAATTCGGTAAATTTTTTCTTCTGTTTGATTGTTTCCAGGGGAGTTTTGGCTCAAATTGGATTCGACAACTAGACTTGATTTGGATCAATCCAATCCAGCGAAATCATTCCTGGGACTTCCTCGAATGTGTTGGCTCACTTGGTTTGTCTCGAATCATTCCCCAGGCCTCCACCCAATTCACTCTCTCTCCTATTCTGCTCTGGTGAGGGAACACAAAGTTGTACAGCTTGGTGACGATAGTGTTCTTTCTTCTTCTTGTACGCAGTTAACATGAATCGTCGGGTTACAAAATTAGATTCCTTAGGTTCCTCTGAGTGTATCCCACTGGATTCACCCTTTTGCCACCGTCGATTTGCCTCTAATTGTCGTTGATCAGCTGGAACTTCCGCCAGCGACAACTGTTTGAGCAAGAAGTTCTAGTTTCTATGCTTGAATTTGTAGCAATTCGTGCCTCCATAATGGCAAACCCCTCGATCAAACTGCCAGGGACGTCCAAACAATAGATGGACGGCTTGCATTGGTGCAACATCAGACAGATCTATTAAGTTTAGGTACTAAACTGTAATTTGTAAATGAGTTGGGTAAAAATTCAAATCATAGCTTAAAAACCTAACCTAACCTAACCCAATCCAAATAAATGGGTATGGGTACAAACTCATCAAACTCTACCAATTTACCATATATTTGGATTTCATACTCAACCCAATTAGGTTAGATAGTAAAATATTCATGGATATGAGCAAAATTGTCATCCCTAGTCACGGGTATACTAGTGAGGATTTGGCCATGTCTATGAAGGAACATAGGGTCTCCAGACTAATGCATGTGCAAGTCATGGTTGTGAAACTGATGGTATTTCGGCTGTTACAATCGAGTTCAACTGATATTAGATAAAGTTGGTTGGAAGATCGCTAGTATGAAATGGAAGTCAAAACTGGTAAAAAGAGTTTGAAATCGAGAAATGTGTGATACGACCAAAATGATCTTTCCCCCCCCCCCCCTAAACAAAGTGACATCGTTTAGGTGGAGTTAACTACAAAAAGAAAGGAATTTGTCGAATTTAAATGTGAATATTTAGATGTCGATGTTATTTATTAAGTTCAAGTATGGATTTAAATGTGAACATTTAGATGTTGATGTTATTTATTGAGTTCAAGTATAAACGTAAGGATATTGAATTATATAAATGCACAATTAATTTGGTCAATTGCTTAACACTTTCTCTTTTGTTTTGTTAAAACCATTATAAATCAATTATACCCAATCGAACCATATCACTTGTCAAATCGACATAACATAGGTTTCCTTGAAGCTAATGCCTAATGGTCCTCGGTTCATGGCGTGAGGGTTGTCACTTATGCAGGAGGAAATGACATAAACTAGAGTCTGAAACTGATACATCATGAAAACCCAAAGGAAGAGAATGCCCCAGACCGGCCAGATAGTCTGCACATTTGTTACCCTCTCTATAGATACGAGAGATAGAGACACTCTAATCTCTAGCAAGAAGATCATGGAAGCGATCAATAATAGTTGCCTGATGATGGTCTGACGCCTCACTGCTCTGTAGAAGCTGGACCGCGCACCAGGATTCGAGCTCAATACGAGCAATTCAGATTCTTTTACACCATGATCCAAACAAATTTCATTTCATTTCGATTTTCTCGGTGTATTGCACGATTTGGAGAGATCTTTACCTCATCGAAGTCGCTATTTATGATTATCGTTTGGTACCAAATGAATCAAAAAAAAAATTTATGGTAATATGAATTACCATGTAGAATTCATTGTCAAATGAAATCTTGTGTTTCGTATATCATATTCAAATATTTAGAAATAAAATGCGTTGTTGTGTAGAATTTATCTTCAAATAAATTATTGTGTTTAGTATATAATATGTATAAATAATTTAGTTAATAAAAGAGGATAATTATATCATTCTATTATAATTATTAAATATATGTGAAATTCATTTGAAAATTCCATCTAAATTTCTCAAAATTGCTATGACTAGTTGTAATTACGTCGAATTCAAAATATAAAATTGAAAATAAATTTTTTTAAATACTAAACAAATATTTTATTTCAAAATGCAATTATGAAAACTTATGGAATTCATTTAGAAAAAAAATATATAAAGGTATGTTAATTCTATTTGTGAAATGGAATCTCTTTTGGGGTCATTTGGATCCAGGTTTTTAATTTGTGGAATTTTGGCTCAAATCACTGGTTTAAAAACCTAGGTTTTCAATTTGTGGGATTTGTGTGGGATTTTAAAATAGCTGATCACCATCAGCTATTTCATAATCCCACAATTGTGGGTTTCTGAAATCTCTAATATTTAAAATCTCTTATCATATAATTGCTTTCCAAACGAGTGATTTTAATAAAATCCCACATTATATAGGATTGTGCCCAAATCCCACACCCAAAACCTGCATCCAAATGACCCCTTTATGTCTCCGCCATTAACGAACTGCGAATATGCGGAGAAGGGGAGTGAAGACTGAAGACTGAAGCCTCCGCCGCCGTAACCGCCCCGCCGGCCCGACTATAGTGTTGTTTATTACTGCTGATCGGCGGAGCAAAACCGCCCCCGAAGCGAGCCAGCGAGTCCAAACAGTTTCTTCTCCGAGTCTTCTCTCTCTCTCTGTCATCATTCCTTTCCTTAAATTACTGCCATCCCAATTTTGAAGCAGATCTCTCTCTTCTCTCTGCCGCCTACTTTAACTGCATCAATGGATCTCTCAATTGCGCTGACGTTCCCCTCCATTACCACCAAACCTTCCCCTTCTCACCTTCTTCTTTCCCGCCCTCTCTTCCCCAGCTCTTCGCCCGGAAGATCCTTGCTCTTCACTCGAAACCCCTCTTCTTCCCGCCACAACCACCTAGAAGTGAAAGACACATTCGTAGGAAGAAATAAATCGGAAAAACAATCAACAGTAGCACATAAGATAGTACTAATCATAACAACAACACAAAGCTCGCTATGCACGAAAGGAGAAATTTTTTTTTGCAGTGGATAACCTGCTTACCGATATCGATGATCTATCATCTTTACCATGTATAATAAGAATCACCCCAGGTAATCATCTCTGCAATCCAACAAAAAATAAGAATACAAATGAGTAGTGTGGAGGAGAGAATGAACCTACGCACAACAACAATCTACCATCATCAGTATTATATCATCCCAAAACTCCGAGTTAAAAATGAGAGAGGGTAGAAGCAGAACCTATGTAAGACGTTGGAGTGAATGCTGTGTAACCATAGCCATAGAAATCATCTGGAAAGTCATCTAGGACTTCAGCCTTGGATAAGATTACACAGTCATAGGGGGGGCTTGAGCCACCAGTAGCACTGCTGCAGTCACCATTGTCGATCAATTTGAACTTGCAAGCCTTGAAGAAATCAGCTTCTGGGTCACCACGAGATCTATACCACACAAACATGCAATACACGCCAGAGTTCGCATCATCATCCTCGTCGTATCCAAAAGGAACAACCACAGCATTCTCGAAGAACTTGTCGTTTTGTGCTGTACCAACAAGCTCGGATACAGTATCCAGCTCCTGTTGCATGCCCGTGAGGTTCTTCACAACAAGGCTAGGATTAAGGGCGGGTTTCACAACAAAATATTTACCACCATGGACAACCCTTGAGCAGAGCGAATTACGAAAGATACTCTCCCTGTACATCGCCCACTTTAAGGGTGAATCATGAAAGTAGGGGTGCCACAGTAGCTTGTCCATGTCAAGACCATACAAAACGTTTTCACCACAATAATTCCACACAAGGACATACAATACATTCCCTGAAACAACATGACCTGAGAAAGCAGGGCGGAAAGGCTCACCATCCTCGTCTTTCCAGGTCCAAAAAGGGGTTTCAACTGTCACAACACTGAGATCTTTGAGATTCAAAACCTCGCAAGGAGCAGGACACTGAGCCTCTCCGTCACCACGACAATAAGTCCGCTCCAGCATGATAATCTTCTCTTTGTAGGCCACATTAATGCACAGCTGCTTCGGCCCCTTCAGCTTGTTTGGATGTACTTCAAATACGAGCGATTTAAAGTTTTGGGGATTCATTGTCAGATCACACACATATAAATCTCGCGGATACTCACGAACACCACCTGTAGATGGGCGCCTACCAGCTTCACCACCAAAAGCATATAGCTTCGTTCCTACCACTGCATAACCCATAGAACAAGGGAATTTTTCCCCCTCGTAAAAGGAACTGCTACCAGCTGTCACGTTGACGGTGGTTGTGCGGATCTTCCCGGACCTGTCAGGCGTACCCATCAGAACCACACGCAGCTCCTTTCCGGAAGTACCAACGATTCCGAATTCCCACCACCGCCGCCGCGGCTTCTTACCCTCCGGTGAGCTGCTCGAATCATCGGACATCCTAATGAACCCAAACCAACCAATCGGCCAAGGAGGAGGAGGTTATACTTGTCTGCGCTTTCCCCGTCTTGCCGGCTTGTCACCGATTGATGAGACAAATAGAGGAATCGTTGGCCGTCGTCTGGCTGATGAAAAAAGGAGAGGGAATGGTGGCGGCCTGGCGGGGGTGAGGAAGTCGCTCGATTAGGGTTTTGCCAATGCCTAATTGCCCGGGCCTCTTAAATTTTTAGCACCAGGATGTCTATTGCCTGATCAACAAATGGACCCCTGAATTATTAGGATTTCCCAATTAGGCCCCCAAACAAAACCCTTTTATTATTACTAGCATTAACCCTGCCCTTTGGGCAGGTAACTTTTAATTTATGTGTATATGTGTAATATGATTATCAAAGCAATAATTTTCTAAAACCACACAATTAGTTTCCATCACAAAAATAAAGGCCTAGAGACACCACGAAAAGAAAAAGAAATCTCGCATCTCAACTTATAATTAAATTTAAAAAGAAACACCAGAAGGTCCGTCCATCTTGATGAAGTTCTTCGGGGAAAGTTTGGTGGGCATATACTGTCGTCTTGCGGCCGATCAATCTATGAGAAAGAATCGTACATGCATTGATGGCCAATCCTCCCATCCAAATAGTAAGGATTATTTAACATATGTTAGTGAGTGAATCTATATACAAAATATATCTATTTATGATATATCGAGATTTTAGAATTTGTAACCTCTAAACCTACAATACACATATAAAATGGAGAAAGAAACCATATTCGTTAAATCTCTAAACTTTATGAATCTATACTTTGGATTTCATTCTCCAAATGAACTCTTAATTAATTTACCATTAATATTTTAAAACATATTTTTGATTAAAAATATTAAAAAATATTATGATTATTTTTTAGATGAATTATATTATTATTATTGAGGATAAGTAATCATCACAAATAATTATAATTTATTTCATCATCTCTTTCCTCCCATATCTCCATCCAAAATAAATTGATCAAAAAGAAAAAAGAGAAAAACCTAGTGCAAGGAGGAGTCTAGCCTCTAGGAGACGGTTTAAAGAGGATAAAAAAAATATGAGTAGTTTTCCTGAACAAAAAAAAAAAAAACATAGAGGCGAACGCGAATGGTAAAAAAAAATTAAAATAAAAAAAAAAAACTCGATTGCCGAAAATTGCGGTCAGGCTTTTAAGGCTGACATGGAGGGGGTCTTAATCTTAATCCTCTTTAATATATTTTAAGATTATTATTATTATTATTATTAAAATTGTTATCCTATAGTGGAAAACAGAATATTATTATTATTATTATTATTATTATTATTATTATTATGCCGAAACTAAAGAGTTTTACATAGACACATAACTTGCAATAAAAGGCATTACAATCCTGAACTACAAAGGTCGACCTTGTTTTCAAGGTCAACGTCTGGGAAACATTTTATCTGCACCAGTTATAGTTAGAGAGTGCAAAAATGTTATATTTTGTTTAGATGTATATTTTGTTGTGCCTGTAAATGTGGATTCCCTAAATAAGTGCATGTTGTGTCTATCTATCAAGCTGCGACTTTGTCCGTCTTCCTGCTTTAAAGTTAAGACTTCCATTTTATAGTTGTTCATAGCTATATTAATCTCCTATTTGTGTGGTGTGTTTGCATATCAAATTCAGTGAGTTTGTTGCGAGACAGGTCAGGTAGAGAGAAGGTATCATACTAGAAGCTAATACGTCGAGGCATGTGAGGTAATTGGACATCTAGAGTAAAGAAATATTTCGGTGTTTTGTTTGAAAGAAAAGTCTATTTATCAAGAGAACAAAATACGTGGTGTTCAGCGGCAGATCCAGAACACTGAAGAGCACTGGGCCGCATTTCACTAGAAAATTAGAATCGTAAAAAATAAAATGATTATAGTTTTTTGCAATGTAAATTGTACACGACTGTATTTTAATTTAGGGAATGCATCAATAATGAAGTCTACATCCATACCAATAGTATACAATGTTTCAAATAAAATACTTGAGCAATCGGCGAGAAATTCATCGCTCATTTTGTTGAGCAAATCAGTTCTCACATGTTTCATTGTTAAAAAGGTTCTCTTCGTAGTAGTTGCTGAAACGAGCAGTATCAACACTAGATAAATCAATCGACTAATGAATTTGCATTGTGTGTCCATCCTTGCACACCAGCTGCTTTAGTAAATTTGTAAGGGAACAAACCTCATATTTCTTTTAGTCTTTTACGTTTTAAACTTTATAGAATTTTAGGTTTCATTGTTTTTTTAAGACGCATAATCTTTGGGCTCAAATTTCTAGGCTAAATTTAGAATAGTGATTTGAATATGTTCAACTTGATAATTTTTCTAGTTAAACCCAATCTTATCATAGAATAACACTGGATCGGATGACTAAAATCAAAAATTTCATAAGGACTATAGTAACTACGGATCTAGAGGAGGGCTGGGCCGGGGCCTGGGGTGGCCACCCCCTGGATCCGCCAGTGGTGGTGTTTTGTTTGAAAGAAAAGTCTATTTTCCAAGTTGACAGGACAACCACATGAACCAAGATCTAGCTAACAATTCTCGGAACATATGTTAAATCCTCATGAGCAGAACCGGAAAAGAAAAACAAAACCCTCTCACAATTACTCTTCTAAGTTCTGCAGAAAACTAACAAAAACCTTGATGCACTCTAGACTAAGATGTATCTCTACTGAGTAGACTGGATCACGGAATGGCGATATTGTGCTTGTCAAGAGGTGCAATCTCATCTCCATCGAATCCCGGCTGAGTATCCCCAACAACGTCGAGGCTCCTCAATAGTTCTTCCCATTTCTTTGTTGGCCCCTGCATCCCATCTTTCATGTCACCTTCCCTCGACATATTATAACGATTATTCAGTAAAATCAGTTGGATGTTTAATGCATTACCTTCCACGAGAGATCTTGAGCCATGCAGTCCTGGATCATTTCAGACAGTGTAGGAGTCCCATAGGTTGCAACTGCCTTCCCGACTCCTCTAGCCACCGCCGCTCACATACATTGCAATGGCGGAGCCAGCTCATAACAAGGTGGGTCCCAAGACCACATTGGCTCAAGATTATAGTGTTTGTAAAATCGTATTGTATAGGTGATTCGATCGAGAAAACCTTGTATTAGATTTTAAATCGTAGACGGTTTTTTAGTAGTATGAAACGCTTGAATCACGATTAAACCATGGTTTCAACATAAATATCATACTATTGACTTTTTTAGTACAACCACTACTACAGATTTACTATCCTTGCTAAATTATTACACTGATAACAATATTTTGTACACAATCAATAACTCTGAAATCTATCACCTCATGTTTACTGGTTTTACTTATCTACAAATAAATTGTAGAAAACTTTGTGGTACACATGAACCTTGCATATTATATAAATAACTCTTGACTTTATATAAAACTGTGTCCCTAATTATGTATTATAAATTTACTAATTTCTAATTTAGTATCGAATTTCCACCTTCCAACGAAAATGTGTCGAAATACTATAAAACGCATTATAGGTCATTTCATTCATTTTATATAATTTTATTTTTATGTCGGACCCACCTTAAGTGAAATCCTGGCTACGCCACTGATCCATTGGATCAACTTCATCGCACTGCAGGAACATTTTCGTACATTCCCTATGTTTGGCCCGACATTTAGAAGGGCTTTTCGGCTTTAAAAGCTGAAGCAGGGCCAAACACCTGTAAAAGCTTGGCTGCTTCATTGTTTCCCTGGCCCCCTTTAGACTTCTGAACTGGATTCCTCTTCTCACATCCGCACTTGCCAAAAGTTTTGCAGTGACCACATACAGGAGGTAGATGACTATATGCCACCCCCACTCTGATTGAACGCTCATCCGTAGGCCAGACCAGGACGTGATCAGGGAAAGAAGCTGATGCTTTTAACTCTATCAGAGCCTTTGCACAGCCAAGCCTACCCCCCAATCTCGTGGTATGATCCACTCCCAAAGGAATGCCAAGGAAGCTCCCCAACCTACTCATACCCTGAAAATTGACATACTCCAAAGGAACATTAGTGAACCTCACCCATATAGGCAGAGCCTTGTTCCCCAAATCTTCCACATCTATCCCCGGGGTCCAAGGTCGAAGATATAACATGTTATCCGTATGAAACCAAGGCCCGCTCTCCAAGATCCAATCATAGGTTTCCTGAGAAGGCAATTGAATGAGAAGAAGCTGATTACCCAGTAGGGAAATCCGAACAGCACCGTCGCGCCCCCATAGCTTGTTTGCCCATCTCCGGAGCTCCAGGAGAGAAGACGAAGATGGATGAAGGAACTGCCCAACCAGACTGTGTCGCCACCGAGCCGCACCTTCATCACTTACCACCTTGGGCATTCGAATTCCTCCCTTGAAGTGCTCCGGCGGAATATATTCCAGACGATTCTCCTCGGCGATACCAAACAGCTCCGCCCAAGGCTTAGCGGGAACCCCCCTCCTCACCTACAGCCCTCGCTTCGGACGCCATCACTCACAAGAACCTCGAAGTACAAAGAAGCGTACCGACGCAGATGCCGGCACGGCCAACCAGGCCCACGACGGAAACCTAACTCGCCAAGAAAACGGGAGGATTTTCTCTCACTACTCTCTCACTTAATCTCTCTGAAAATTCTATTCAACCATTGCATTTCGGGTATTTTTTTTTAAAATCACAATAATTATCGAAAAAACCCCATAATTTGCTAGGCATATACATCGACGTCGGTATTTAGGACTTCACCGTTAATTTTTTTAAGCGAGATGAACTTTTATGTCTCGAACTGCGAAATGTGCGGAGAAGTGGGGAACGAAGGCTCCGCCGCCGTAACCGCCCCGCCGGCCCGACTATAGTGTTGTTTACTGCTTCTACTGATCGGCGGAGCAAAACCGCCCCCAAAGCGAGTCCGCGAGTCCAAACAGTTTCTTCTCCGAAACTTCTCTCTCTGTCATCATTCCTTTACTTAAAATTCTGCTTCCCTTCCCATTCCGCGCTGACCATCTTTCTTCTCCCATCGCCATTCCAATTTTGAAGCAGATCTCTCTCTCGTCTCTTCTGCCGACTACCTCAACTGCATCAATGGATCTCTCAATTGCGTTGCCATTCCCCTCCATTACCACCAAACCCTTCCCTTCCCATCTTCTTCTTTCCCGCCCTCTCTTCCCCAGCTCTTCGCCCGGAAGATCCTTGCTCTCTACACGAAACCCCTCTTCTTCCCGCCACAATCACCGCACTCCTCGACAACGACTCCGCCGCCGTGTTTCCGCAGCCGTCGACGACGACGATGGCGGCTTCGTCCTCGAAGATGTCCCTCACCTGTCCGATTTCCTCCCCAATCTCCCCGTATTGATTCTCCTCCCTCTTCTCTTCTCTTCTCGTCCTCCTTTTGGTTCAAGATAGTGATCTCTGGTTCCCCTTTCCTTGCTTCAGCTGTATCCCAATCCCTTGGAGAAGAGCCAAGCTTATGCCATTGTCAAGTATGTAGTCTCTCTACTTTGCCTTCCTCATTTTCACAACCCGAGCTTCTTGTTTGTGATCAATGTTTACTTCCCGTAGGCAAACATTCGTCGGCCAGGAAGATGCGGTGGCGCAGACGGTATGCGATCTTGTACATCTTATTCTCCAATTATGTTCCTTCTAAAATGTGGTAGTTACCGTCTTTTTGGTGCTCTCAGGTCGTTGTTCATAAAGGCAGCCCCCGAGGAGTACACTTCCGGCGAGCCGGCCCTCGAGAAAAGGTTCTTATCCTACTAGCTTTCCCTTTTCCCACTTTTTTTGCCGGCGACTATGAATGAACCAGAAATCAAGGGAATGATCAATTGAGTATTTCTTAGGTGTACTTTAAGCCTGATGAGGTTCGGGCTTGCGTAGTCACATGTGGAGGGTTGTGCCCAGGGATCAATACAGTCATCCGGGAGATAGTTTGTGGGTTGAACTACATGTATGGTGTGGATGACATTCTTGGTATCGTGGTGAGTGAGCTCTTTTGAGTATCAGAGTTTCCCTCTTGTTTCTTTCCTTTTCTCTGGGGAAATTTGATTGGTGTGATTTGCAGGGAGGGTATAGAGGCTTCTACTCTAAGAACACTGTGAAGCTGACCCCTAAAGTTGTGAACGATATCCATAAACGTGGCGGCACTTCCCTTTTGACATCTAGGGGAGGTCATGATACGATTAAGATAGTTGACAGCATTCAGGACAGGGGAATTAATCAGGTCAGTTTGATTTTTCTGTATGATAAGGCACACTCACACCCACAATAGGCACGGGAATACTAGGCCAGGAAGTAGAAAGAGTGGCGAGTTTAAAGTTTTGACATTTCATTGATCTTAGGTGTACATAATTGGAGGTGATGGGACCCAGAAAGGAGCAGCTCTAATTCATGAGGTTGTTGTACACTCTTTAAAGGGTTTCGTTTGTTTGTTAGCATGGTGAAGTTTTGCTGTTTTGACAGTGTGCCACACTTTCCATTTCCTTGTGCTGACTTGCCTTTGTGATGGTGCTAAAGGAAGTTGAGAAACGTGGTATGAAAGTAGCAGTTGCTGGGATTCCCAAGACCATTGACAATGACATAGCTGTAAGTTCTGTAAACCTGCGTTTGGATTTAATTATACTTGAAAGCCAATTTCATATGGCTGGTGCTATACTTCCCTAGTCAAATTAGTCTTCCCGGGATACATATCCATGCCAGTAGATGAATACAAAATGTGTAATAGTGGATCAGGTGAAAGAATTATTACAATGGATCGAGTTTGAGCAGAATTTTGACTCTGAGGACTGTTAGAATGTTTTGTGTTAGAACCTCGGCACACTGTTATAATAACCGAAACTGTGTTCTTGGAAGTAGAATGAGCACTGGAAGTATGATGATTTTGTCTGTTTAATTGTCTGCCTCTTGTCCCAAAATATTTTTAAACTACTTTGAGAAATTGGAATGTAGTGGCTAATTATATTTTCTGCACATGGTATCAAAGTATTTAGGCAGATCAATTCATGAATGTACTCATTTTATTGGTTTCTATTTTTGTATGATTAGGACACCCATGATCGTCTAAATCTTGGCTCTCTGGGGAAAGACTTCATATGTCTTTCACTTATACTACTGAATGTCAAGTTTGAGTAATAGTTGAAGAGTGATGAAATTGAGAGTTTTGCATTTACGTTGCTTGGAGACGGATGAATCTTAGATGTTTTTGTTCTTTGCTTTTTTAAGAGGAACCTGTTAGACATTGTCAAGCAATGACTTCCAACAAGAATATGATGTTTTTCAATGCTCATTTTAGGTGATAGACAAATCGTTTGGGTTTGATACTGCTGTTGAAGAAGCTCAGAGAGCAATTAATGCTGCACATGTAGAGGTTGAGTGTGTGGAAAACGGAGTTGGAGTAGTCAAGCTGATGGGAAGATATAGTGGTGAGTTCTCAATATTTGACTTTAGGCTTTTTAAACTGTAATATCATCACACAAGTCTGTCTAATGTTTCCCCCCGTTTCTTTCCTTTGCACTTTTGTTGTTCATTTATGCAGGATTCATTGCTATGCATGCAACATTGGCCAGTCGAGATGTGGTGAGAAGTTAGTTTCTTTCTGTTTGACTCTAATTTATGGTCTTATAAAGTTCTATGTATAACTTCAGTGTCTGATTTTAAACTTTTTGTGTATATATCATCACGAAGTAAATGTTTTGCCAAAGGGAGCCTGACCCTATGCCTGTTCCTGGTGTTTGGTGAATGCTCCAGGATTGTTGCTTGATTCCAGAATCTCCATTTTATCTGGAAGGTCAAGGCGGGCTGTTCCAATTCATTGAAAGCCGGATGAAAGAAAATGGGCATGTGGTTATTGTGATAGCTGAAGGAGCAGGGCAGGAATTTGTTGCTCAGAGCATCCATGACGTCAATCAGAAAGATGCATCAGGAAACAGGCTACTTCTTGATGTTGGTCTCTGGTTGTCTCATAAGATTAAGGTTTGGAGCACAAGCTTTATCTCCTTCATTGCAATTGGTATTTCGTAATATTTGTGGTTTCCTTAACCTTTGGATTTTGGTTGGCATGAGTTGCCTTCTTAAGTTCTTATTATCTTAAAAGACTTGTAATAATCCAATGGCAGGATCACTTCACACAAGTTCGGGAGATGGATGTAAATATGAAATACATAGGTATGCTTCGATTTCAGTGGATTATTGTTTGTTGCACTTGAATACTTACCAAGTCCTGATATATGGTAGCAAGTTGTGCAAATCTCAATTCTTGAAACACCCTTGCTAATATATTTTATAAGGATAATCTCACTCTTCTCCCATAGTCACTCTATCGGTCTTTGAGTGAGGCCATATGAATAAATAAACATGAATGGTAGATAAGTCTGTATACAGTGCATCCTGAAACATTGTTGGGGTTAAGACGTGCTGAGCTTTTCTGTTTTCCCCAGTCTCCGTTAAGTTTTTCACCTTGGTTTTGTCCTGTCATGTAAAGAGAGAAAGAGGTTTATCCCATTTATGTACCTTGTGATGATATAGATCCAACATACATGATACGGGCTATTCCAAGTAACGCATCAGACAACATATACTGCACTCTTCTTGCACAAAGTGCCGTACATGGGGCGATGGCTGGGTACACAGGCTTCACAGTTGGACCTGTAAATGGCAAACACGCCTACATACCCATTGCTGTAAGTGATCCCTCTCGTGCTCTCTCTCTGCCTTAATACCCTATACAAAGAAAATCTTGTTAGACTAGGACATAAGAGGCTGTTTGCTGCGGTTCTGTTAGAGAAATGTTGTGATAATAGTGAGTGATTGATTATGGTGGATGGATTGCAGCGGGTGACAGAGACGCAGAACACAGTGAGGTTGACTGACAGGATGTGGGCTAGGCTTCTTTCATCAACAAACCAGCCAAGTTTCTTGAATTCCTGTGATGATATTTTGTTGCAACAAGAAAGAGTCGACAGAGACACGGTCGATATGATTCACAAAATGAAGATTACTTCCACCTAGACAACACCATTCAATTGCTGGCTCTAAAGCTAAACACGGAGAAGCGCATCGGGCGTGGGCAGGTATCACCAGCATAACAATCTCAAGCTATCTTCCATGATGTCGGAGGAAGGTACAATGTGTTTGCATGCTGAGTTGACTATCATTTTGTTGTAGGTGTAGGATGAAAGACTGTTGTGCTTGGTTCAGTTGAAGTGTAAACAAGAGTATAGAAAGGGTGGAAGCATAATGAAGAAAACAGAGTAGCAACTTGCTTTCAACTTTGCAGATAATACCAAATGATAGGCTTTTTGTCTGTCTGTCTGTTCCATCCATCATTCCATCCACAAGTGGCAGTGGGTTGGTTCTTCCTCCCTAGTAGTTATCTGGCACACCATGCACGTCGGCTGCGGGCAAGTTGCAGACGTAGGCATTGGTTATCTTTCTATCTGTTCTAATCTGTCCACCGTAATTGCCACTTGCTGCTTTCTGTTGCTAGCTTAGGTAGAACTTGAGAGCAGTCCGTCGGTTTCATTACAAGTTGGGTCGGGTAGGGTAGCTCCTTGAGAGCGCGATGGCTTTAGGGATGGATAGTATTTTGCAGTTGCTGGTGGGAGTTTATCCGGATCTGCGATTCCTTGAACTACAAGCAAGCAAGTGGGCTTTGATTGCATTGGCAAGTTGATGGATTGGATGGATTGACTCCGACGCTGACACTGACTCTTGCTCGTTCAAATATCTCCCTTCCGTTATAAATGTCAATGTGCTGTGCTGTACTGTACATGGGATTGATCTGATCTGACTTTGTAGGAGGGCTGGAAATGAGCTCACTAGCGGCTCCACGTTCAGTTTGTGAGACATTTTGCTCGTTTGTTAATAAGTCGAGGTCTGAGTTGAGCATTGTTCAGTTTGCAAGGTTCGTGAGCTAGTTTCACTCGGTGATTTTGCCGAGCTCAACTCGTAAGCTAGGTCGTTTAGGACTGTTAGCTGACTCGATACCATGGCTAGCAAGCCACCTCAACTAACAACTAATGAGCGAATTGGTTATTAACTTATCATTCGGCTTGTTGATAACTCATAAGTTTGCTAAATTGTAAATCTCATCACTTGATGTTTAAGAATTTGAGTACGTAATCAAATATGCCTAGTTTATACTTGAAAGAGAGATTATGTACGTAACTAATTACTTTAATATTAAATTACATGATATGACCCGTTAAGAATTGTGAAATATATAATATCTTAGATCCGAGCACATCTTGTGAAATACAATATATCATTAATGAGTCAACCTCGAGGAGAGCTCGGAGTCAAAACACAAATCGAGCTAGTTTCATTTTTAACTAACTCGGACTCAATTCAATTCATTTGAAGCCATGTGTAGGAATAGTTAAAAATCAAGCTAGCTTTGTACAAGTGTGTGATCTTATTTTATTTGTCTTCGATTAGTATAGTGGATATAGCAAAAGCTAATTCATTCCCTGTGATAGGGTTGCAAATGAACTGAACATAATAGTCGAGTTTTCAACTAACTTGAGCTCTACTGGTTAGTAAACAAGTCAAACTCGAGCTCGGCTTGTTTACGAAAATATAGGGTTGCAAATGAACTTATTGACCATTATTGATATTAATTTTTCTAGTGACTAAACATGATACATTTTAATAAACCCAATGACCAAACATGTCATTAGCTCGATATATAGAGTTTGTGATTATTTGTACTATAGTAAATAAATAAATAGTTCACTAACATTAATTACTTCGTAATGTTACAATTCCTCCAACTTTAGACTCCCTCCCTTCTAGTACTATCAATAATAGAGAGCATATTATACCCAATGCTGTCAAAGTCGAGCCGGAGTATGACCCGGTAAGGTGAACGACTCGGTCATTAGTGGTCCAGCCGGCATTAGACCGTTTAAAAATCGTTTGAGAACCGGTACATTATAAAAAATATAATATCATAGTAGAACACACATAAAGTAATAATTCAATGATTTAATGAGTAAAAATGAAAATACAGGTACCATTTAATAATTCTACACAACATATATATACAACAACTAAAAAAAACCCTAACCTAATCCAAGCGACAGCTCCACTTCCCCACCCATCGGCCATAACTCTCCTAACTTCTGCTTCCCCATCCCCCCTCCCTCTCTCCTTCCTCCTCTTCCACCGCCGCACCTATTTTCATTTTTCAGCCACTATAGCCTTCTGCAATTCCTCAAAAATCCATCACCACATTCAATTCTTCCTCATCCTTTCTTAACCCCTAAATGTCTTCCTCGTCCCAATCCGCGAAATGGCTCGGATTCAATCCAAGCCTCTGGTGAGACAGGGCAGCTTAGCGGGGAGCTGCTTGCGACGAGATGGAAGCGACGGGAGCGGGGAGCTGCTTGCTACAACAAGGACTGGCGATAGCTATGGGGATGGCGATGTCGGGACGAGGTGTTGATGACCGATTCCACGATTGCCTTTTTTTTAGGGTAAACCAAACGGCCGAACCGCGCGACCAGCTTGAGCGGCTCGAGCGGTTAACCGCTTCGGCCGCTCGCCGACTGCTGTATAAAACCGTGGCGGTTAAATAGCTGATCCGAGCCGGTTTTACGACCGGGTGGCTGCTTTGACGGTCCGGCCGGCTCGGTTCGACTTTGATAGCACTGATTATACCTAGGGGTGGGCAACGGGAAACGGGTATTTGGGTATACCCGTACCCGTCCCGTTTTTTAAGGGTTACGGGTACCCATATTACCCGTAATATTATAAACGGATGGGACTTGAGATTGTACATTCCTAATATGGGTACCCGCGGGTTACCCGCGAATACCCGTTTGGGTAATATGGGTACCCGTTCTACCCATTCAATACAAATGTAGAAATTTAATTCAACCCAACTCAATTCAAAATCCATTGGCCATTTCGGCCATTACCCTTTCAATTTCAATTCCATTTGGGCCATTACCCTTTCACTGACATGTTTGGTGAATTAGTAGAGAGAGTTGAGATGTGTTGAATGAAACTTTTTTTTTTTTGTTGATAATTTGGTACTTGGAATGATTTATTTCTATGTGTTGTGATTGTTCATGAATGTGTAATTTGCAAACCAAGTATTTGTGATTGGGATGTATTTTGGTCTTGTGATTGTTAAGCAAATACAAGTTAAGTTTAAACTTTTGTTAAAATTTTAGTGGTTTAAACTTTGGGTATTTATGGGTAGTATGGGTACCCGTTATCCGTCCCGTACGGATAATGGGTACCCGTTTCCCATATGAGTTTGGGATATGGGATGGATTTTGGTCTCCAAATGGGACTGGGTACCCGTTTAAAACGGGACGGGTATCTCGTCCCGTCCCATTGCCCACCCCTGATTATACCTATAATCATTATCTTAATCTACTACGGCTACCTATATCTCTAAGTGGGCCCTGGCTGCTGGACCCTTATCACGGCGGGATAATAAAAGGGTTTACTCTAAAATCACAGGCCCAAGCCCAGGGCCCACATCTAGGTCGCCTTGCCACTCCGTTTCCGCCACCGTTTTCTTCATCTTCATCCTCCTCCGTCGCCGGGCAGTGCAGGCCGGCGCGTCGGACTTCCCCGCTTCCAACGGGAAATTCAGGATCGCCTTCCTGCCCCTCAATCGAAAAGCGGCGAAGTCGTACGCCTTCGCGGCGTCCACGTCGCTGTCGAAAGTCCCCAGCCACACCCGGCTGCCCTTCTGGGTCGGGTCGCGGATCTCCGCCGCGAATTTCCCCCACGGCCTCTTCCTCACGCCCCTGAAATTATTATCCCTCCCGCTTTCTTCCACCTGCCTCCCCTGAGACGACGACCCACTGCTGGAACCCGAAGCGGCAGACTTGGGCGAGTCCAGGTCCGGGTCGGATTCAGGGGTATTGGAGTCGGAGCCCCGAACAGGGGATCCGGATTCTTCTTCTTCGAGTTTTACGGGCAGGGGAAGCAGCAAATCGTGGGAGGCGGAGGATATCTTGGAGTTCAGATTGGTGATGAAGATGTCGGTGTCGGTGGAGGAGAAATTGTCTTCCAGCAGGTGCTGCCGAATGAGCTCCAGAGCTTCTTTGTATTCCTCTGGCGTTGCCATTGTTGTTGGACTACCGATCGAGGCAGAGAGAAACAGAGGAAAAAAGGATGGATTGATGGGTAGTGAGTGATTTCAGCTCAAACTATTTAAAGGGGAGGAGGAATGCAGTGAAGCAATCCAATCAATATGGTTTCCATCAGAAGAGTAAGAAGAAAAAGGATGAAATTTGAAGACTCTGTCGTCGGTGAAGGATATTTATTTCAGTGTGTCCCAGCTTTTGGGAGTTGATGTGAAGAAGAGGGAGAGGGAGCCGCAGTCTCAGTTTTGTCCTCTGTCAGCCAGCAGCTAGCCCACGGTTTCAACTCAGAGAGGCGCAACTTGGCCTCTAGGGTAGGATTTGGAATCTGAGAACTGGATAATGGATATGATTATGGCATTTATCCATAAACAAGTTGTAAATACAAGTGGACTTGTCATATCGAAAGTTATGTACAACAAGAATGGTTGATCCCCGCGAAGAGTTTGAATACTAGTGATTAGCTTCACTTCTTTTATGTAATCGATTCTTTTAGCAGAATGTAAGTGAATTACTCCACGGTCGTTTTCTTTTTATTTCATACTGCCTTGTGTTTCTCTAATTGGGCGAATTTTGGATCCTGACATGGTCGTGGGCAAGATCGTGCTCCAAACCGTGTTGAGCTCAAACCAGAGCACTTACGGTTTTGAGTGAACCATCAAACCTCATCCAAACTATATAAAGGCATGTAACCGCTACATGCAGTACACCTTATTAGGGTCTTTCACACTGCTGACTGGATCGTCACCTTCAAGACGAGCCTCAAAATATCTCTACTGTCGTAGAATCATCCTCGTGCGAGGTAACCAAACCCTTAAGGTGTTTCTCTCCTAGTCTCCTTAATTCAGGTTCTTTAGTATTGATAAAATGAGAGAACATAGTCATCTCGACATAATTATTTCTTTCGTAATGTGATAAAAAGTTGTTAGTATAGGTAAAATGAGGATTATAAAATCAAAATTTAGTCAGGGTATCCAATCGAGGGAACAAAATTTAAATATGTAAACAGAAGACATGTGTAGTCTAATCCATATAATATATTAAATAATAAAAGAGGGGTAAATTGAACTCATGAATCAAATAAAGGAACAAATACAACCTGAAAGCATCGATCTTACTCCTAATTATTTTTCTTCTTGTTTTCTTTTGTTTTGATTGTTTTATATTTTTTTTTTTTTTGTGTTTTATTTATGTACATATCAAGCAACATCATCCCACCAAAGCTCTATTCGTGTCTGTTTCGAGGCCGGCACCGGATGATTCGACGGTCTTCCCTAAACTTATAGCCCAATTGGTTTTGGGCCGAAAGCCCGAAACTAATTTTTCCCATCGCCAGGCCTCACACCGCCATCAGCCGTGAAAACGTATAGGGAGATAACGGCGATAACGGCGGGACGCTGAATATCCCCTTGACTTCCCCGTCCCAGATCTCCTTCCAGCTCGACGGCGTCAACGGCACCGGTTCCCCCAAACCCTGCGCCGCCGCCGGCGACGACTGGTTCTCCGCCTTCACCGCCTTCAAACTGCCCTCACCACCACCACCCTCGATTTCCCCAATCTTCCTCTTCCTAATCCCGCTCAATTCCCCCGAATCGGGGGGAATCGGACCGGCCGGAGAGTCCGAATTCCTGCCGGCGTCGAGCGGGAAATTGAGGATCGCCCTGCTGCCGCGGAGGCGGAAGGCGGCGCTGTCGTACGCCTTGGCGGCCTCGACGGCGGAATCGAACGTCCCCAGCCAGACCCTGACGCCCTTTTTGGTGGGATCTCGAATCTCCGCCGCGTACTTCCCCCATGGCCTCCGGCGAACCCCTCTGTAGTGCTTCTCGTCGCCGTCGACGACAGAGGAAGAAGAATTGGCGACACCCAATTCAAGCTGAGATGGTGGTTTGGAGATGGTGGTGGTTGGGATGGTGATTTTGGACATGGGTGGCTTCCTCTTGCTCAAACTACTCCCGCTGCCGCCGCCGCTGGAAGACGGAGAATGAGAAAGCGTCTCTGTTTTGACAGTGGTGTTGAAGGGGGTTTGTTGGAGGTTGGAGATGAAGGAATCCATGGAGGGGAAGTCGGTGAGGAGGTGTTGCCTGATGAAATCGAGAGTCGAAGCTTCTTGGTTTGGAAACGCCATCTTAATTTGATTGTTTTTGTCTTCTTTCTCTGCTCTGCTTTTGCTGCTGCTGCTTTCTGATGATGGTTTTTCAACGGAGGTAAGAAACTATCAAGTCGTGAAGGGAGAAGGATGATGGAGTGGAAATGGAAGTGTTGAAAGTTTATATAAAGGGAGGGCGGAGAAAGAAGAAGTCTTGGGGGGATGGATTGGAGGATGGTTCCATGGCAGCTTCTGTTGTGAGTGGGTGGGAGGAAGGATCATTATTGCTTTCTTGCTTCCGTTACCCTGCCCAGGCCAAGTGGGGGTATTATTTTTTTTGAAGTAAAGAGGAAAGAGGGGAGGCCTTTGTGGATAAGATGGAAATTGATGTGGTATTGGAATTCAAATATCAAATATCGGAAAATTCGAGAATAACGTTACGAATTTAATTACAATCCCAAAATAAAAATTATAATTCAATCGCAATTTCATGTATTTTGTTCGATATAGGTAGAGTTGCAAGTGAGCCAATCTGTTTGTGAGAAACTCAGCGTTGGAATCGCAAAAAACTCGTTCGACACTCGACTCGTTATTTAACAAGCCAGCTCGCGCGCCGACTCGTTCGACACTCGACTCGTTATTTAACAAGTCGGTTCTCGTTAGTCGACAAGCCAAGTTTGACTTAGACCATGCTCAGCTTGATAAGCTCGTGAGCTAGCTTGACTAAGTGGCTTGTTAAGAGCTAGTAGAAGGATCAATTACTCTTCTAAACATGAACATTATTTTGTTAATACGGATGTGTATGGAATTTAACTGTTATTTTAAGTTTCTTTTTATCATTTAAATTCTTATGTGTACACATTTTTTAGCAATAATGATTTCAAATCGAGCTCATCCTGAGTCGAGCTAGTACTCAGCTTGACAAGCTGTGTTAATGAGCATTTATCGAGTTCTATCGAGTCGAGCCCGAGCTAGATTATTTTTAGTCGAGCCGAACTCGAGTTAGATTATCAAAATTCGAGTGTTTGAGCTGAAAAATTTATAAACAAGCTGAGCTCAAACTAAGCAAAAATTCGACTCGACTTGACTCATTTGCAGCCCTAGATATATGTATATATCAAATACCAAATTGATTTCCTTCAAAGTTATCATTCAAATATATAAAGACAAATACTTCTCCTCTACCAGCAACTTCACAAATGATTTTCAAAATATATAAAAACAAGTAATGGTGTCAATACTCATGCAAAACAAATGAGGAATTCTCTAGTATAGTAACAACAAATTAGGAAAATGATGTGTCTAGGAAGCACATTAACAAACTTAAGCAACAAACTGAAACATGGGACTACTACACAACCCATAAACATACTACAAGTAAGAAAATAAGTTTGGTATGAGTTGTCGAATAGTGATTGAATGAGCTATGTATAGTTAAGTGATCATTTTGGTAGTTACCCTTTTACTAGCCGTGAGTGAGAGAGTAATTGGGAGAGATAGAATACACAATAGCTAATATTCCGGTATTGCTCGATATTTCAGCTTCTACTCGTCTCAATCTCGTAATTCCTAATATCAGATAACAATTAATATTCAATCACAACTTCAATTCCGTGAAATAATATGTGTATTGAGTAATAGCAAATATCGACAAATTTGATACAGTATGTTATACATCTCAAATACACTATACGACAAATTTATGGCTGCGGGCTGGGTCCGTTGCATTGCTATCCAATTTGACTATTATCAAACTAAATAAAGGGGTTGTCTCTCTCTCTCTCTAGTCTCTATCCTCTGCTGGGCCTTCCTGCCACCTTCTTCCCACACACGAACTTTTGTCTGTATTATCAGTCGCCATAAGATAACCACAGTTTATTATTTGTCTACGTTATTAATTTAGCGTTATTAAAGTTGATGTTGGGATTAAGTTAAAGTGTAACAATTGTTAATTCGAAACGAATTAGTGGCTAGATTCTGCTTCTGGAACCAGACTTCTTCATTATCGTCATCATTACTTCTTCAACCAAATACAATGATTGGAGCAATGCTACGTATAAAACTCTTGGAGCAAAAACAAGCTAAGATTTGTTAAGCTTAATTCAACGGGCAATGAAAAAGGAACAATATCATAAAATCACATGCATGTTTTACTAATCCACAATATATCAAGCAAATATACTGCCAAATGGAAATTATCACTCTTCAATGAACTGAAAGTCTGAAGCCAGCATAAATCCAGCACATAAGCAAGGCTCAACTGAGATACACGCAGTAAGAAACCCATGAATATTCAGATATATGTGAAGGCAGAGGAACATTGTGCTTCAATCCTTTCCCACTTTTCAACAAGGTAGATGCAACTTCCAAGAAGTTGAGAAAAAGCCTAACCAGAAGCAACAAAATTAAGTATCCTATAGCAAAGAACACCTTCCAAATCATACGCCGAAACTCCATAACCAGAACCCAACTCATCGACCGAGAGACAACACCTTGGAGCCACAGCAGACCTAGTAAAAGAAACCAAGAACTTTGCCACCGACATTCTTCCTCCTTGCCTCCTCGTGATCCATGATTCCAGCAGAAGTCGTCAGCACAATGAATCCAAACTGCAGAATAACATTTGACAATTAATATAAGGCAACACGAACTTACAAATACTAAGCTACTAGCAATCCCTCAAATTTTTTTTTAGATCGCAAGTAAACATTAAGTTCAATCATGTTTCATCACTCACACAACCAGCAGGGAAAGCATTGCAAGTAGGGTTTACTATCTACCACACTCTGATAAGAAGCAAGAAACGGAACCCACCTGTCTGGATGGAAGCAACCTAGCAGTCCACCCTTCAATCTCCTTGACACCGACGTCAAAACGAGGACTGATGACACCACACTTGTTTAGCCTCCCATTCAACTCGACGACAATTTTACCAGCCCTGTGATCATCAACATATTCAAACTCGCCAATGTATCCTGCGTACATCAAATGAAGACATTGAGGCATTAACTATCCAGTGAACAATGCGAATGGAATTTATCCAGGATGAGAAAGGCAAAGACCCATACCATGCTTTTGCATGACAAGAAGGAACTTGATGATCACTTTCGAGGAAGGTCTGATCATGACCTGGCGCTTCCCGCGCTTCTCTGCGTTGTACATGCTCTTAAGAGCATCATTCAATACACTAACTCTCACCATTGGAGCTGGCACAAAATTATCGAAAGCAAATCGTTAGCCACTACCCACAAGGCTTACACCCAAATTCGTACAGCAATGAACACATAGAAACCAAATAACACTCACCCAATAATCTTATCTCATCTACCCCACCGGAACAGGACATAGCTAAGTTGCAGAGGCATTTATAAGGCCAAAGTAGCGTTCTACAAAACCCATTTGAGGCATAGCTGATAGTATAAAAATCCCACGGAAAGTTGAATTCTTTTGCTAATTACAGATTCAAATATGTAGTTTTAGGTAAGACAACCGTCTAGTGGTCTTGTCAGAATTAGTCACCAAAACAGCTATTCGGATGAAGGAACAAACTGATGAGACCTTCAGCTAAAAAATCATTCGCCATTTCCAACATCAGAGACTAATCAGGGCTAGCTTAAAGGAATTCAAACTTAGGACCCAGAAGGAAGACACAAACAGAGCCGATAAAAGAGACTACTGCAGAAATGAAGGGGCAGAGAATCCAAATACAATAGAACTACAAGTGCAGTCGCGAGGATCAAACAGAGCAAAATCGAAGAGCAAGGATTTCAGAAATTTTTCGTTTCCAGCTTGTACGCACCTCAACGGAAGATACAGAGAGATCTGGCGCCACCAGCGACTGAGCAAGGTAGAGTTAGGGTTTTGCGAGAGGATGGACGGGACGAAGACCTCAAGTTTATATAGTGCTGGATCCATGGACGTTAGGTCCTTACGGCCCAGTGTTATTGGTATTGTAGCCCGAGAGCAGGCCCATGAGTCTCATAGTTTACAGCTATACGGCCCAGATTCAGGATTACAGCTACAGGCCCATGAGTATTATATATTTTTTTTTTGTTATAAGAACCGAACCGGATTAATGGATGGGTAAGTAGAACTGTCAAACCAGTTACATCAACGGTTCGATTCATTTGCTTGGACGAATAGGAATGAATCAAACGACTTTCCACGATTAAACCTGAAACCAAAAGAACATCCCCACTTGATTTGTTCATTGGGTTACTATTTTAACCACAACAACAACAAAAAAAAATTGGGAAACAAACTATTGTACTTGTAATTGTAATAAATACAAACTAACACCATGAAACCTTAATTACTAATTTTATTTCTACTTCGTATTTCCCAACCTTTTGGTCGACTTTACGTAGTTCACTACCGATGTCACCCTGATTTCTAACTTGAATTAATAAAGTTATGATTTTGGTTTGAAACTTTGAATGATCTATAAGTATTTTTGTGGTGAATGATATGAATTTGAAATTGGTTATGACCAATGAAAAATTCATTCAGAAATTATTACGTAATACTATGTCTTCTACGTTATAGATCATGAATGGGTTCTCTCAACTATTAACTAACAATTTTATAACGTTTTTCACTTTAGCGTCCAACTCGATTATGAAAACATAGCATATTCTTATTCAGGCAGTGCAGTGCAGCCTTCCTTGCTCTCTGATCTGTTTGTCTCTGAGTTGCTTTCGTTAATTAGCTCACTATTACACTTTTGACCTGTGATGTCACATTAGGTGATGGCTCGGAAGCTTGTCACCAAGGATTCATTGGGAATGCATTTGGGTGGTGCTCCATTGAGAAAAGTTCAGCACCTCTGTCCTTTTTGCTTCTAGTAGGTACAAAGGGACTTTTTTTTTTTTTTTTGCTAAAGGGTACAAAGGGACTTCTAGTAGGAAGAAAAGCGTTGGCCATATCATAACAAAACAAGCACTTTAAGACTAACCACAACCTGGGGGCAAAATTTGGGAATTAAAGGACTAACATTGCATTTTAGACCCCTAAAAAACAAAAACACATGCAACTCTAAAAGGCAAAAAAATTAGGTTTCGTATCTAGTAATCCTATGAGTAGTTAAACTTGTGTTTTTTAATTTAAAATTTTGTATTTAGTACACCAAAATAAACTTCATTCATTAAAATCTCCAAAATTTTGAGCAATTTTCAAGATACGGTTGTTTTTAGTTAAATTTTTTTCATTGATTATATATTTTTTTCTTCAAATAACATTCAAACAGACGACAGTTATACCAAAGTGAATTAGTAAGTTGAAAAACATAAAAAACAAACAAAACACATAATTTTTTAGTTGTTTATGTAATTATTTTTTGTTAGTGTTGTGACCCACTCATTTAGTAGTCGTTTGGAAGTTGCGATTGTTTTGTTAAGATTCTCATTATGGATGTATTGTTTATAATGCATCTTTTTTTCTTTTTTTGTGTTTTAGCAGAAACAATACATGAATTGTTTATATGATGTGACAGAAACTATCACTCAAAACACTCATTTTGAGTGATTATTATATCTCAACTTTTAGTTGTGATTGTTGAAATATTTGAGTTGAGATAGTTGAGTCTGAGCTTTTAGCTGATGCGACATACACAATCACATACCAAACATTGTATTCTATAATGTATCAAATTCGACTATAATGCATCAAATTCGACAATACATGTATAATTATACATGCATTCTCAATAATACATCTATGCATCAAATTCGACAATACCAAACATTGTATTCTATAATGCATCAAATTCGACTATAATGCATCAAATTCGACAATACATGTATAATTATACATGCATTCTCAATAATACATCTATGCATCAAATTCGACAATACATGTATAATTATACATGCATTCTCAATAATACATCTATTCTCAATAATACATCTATGCATCAAATTCGACAATACATGTATTCTCAATAATACATCTATTTAACAATCGCAACATCTATTTAACAATCGCAACTTCGAAACAATACATCCCACATCCATCCCACATCGCAACTTCCATCCTTTTGCAGAACTATTTTAGCTCCTCAAAATCTGTATTTGGCCTTTTATCTTTGGGATTAGCCCATCCATCCCACATCGCAACTTCCATCCTTTTGCAGAACTATTTTAGCTCCTCAAAATCTGTATTTGGCCTTTTATCTTTGGGATTAGCCCATCCATCCCACATCGCAACTTCCATCCTTTTGCAGAACTATTTTAGCTCCTCAAAATCTGTATTTGGCCTTTTATCTTTGGGATTAGCCATGGATTGAAGCAAAAGTTGCAATCGAAGTATTCAGTATTATATATAGATCGTTTTTGAACTTGATTACCAGGACATTCGATTACATTACAAAGCAGCTAGCCACCAAAAATTGCTCATTATTACTTTCACAACTCTTTCAAGATTACACACAGGAAAGGAACTGACACGAAGACCCTGGGTAGATATACAAAAGGAACATAGACAGACGCTTAAGCAAAAACCAAAATAAGAACCCTCAAAATGTGACATAATACTTTTCATCTCCATCATCACCCTTCTCTCGACGGGGGCGAAAACGTTGCGTCTAAGAGGTCTGTTGACCGGTGACATGCTGCTGCCCGAACTCCGTCGCCCTGTCCTTCATCTCCCTCGCCTTCCCGGCCAGCTTCATCCGAGCTTGGTCCAGCGAATCCGCGCCCGGTGGGTGCCTCCCAGTCACATACCTTCCAACCACCACCACAAAAAAAATTGTGTCAACAACTTTTTGCGCGCGCTGACATAGGGCTGAATCTTTTGCAAACAAACACTTGGAAATTTACCTGTAGATCCAGGACAAGACGGTGATGGCTGCAATGCCGAACCCACCGGAGGCCAGGAACCCCGTGGTGAGGAGGCCGACGGTGACGAGAGCCGGGACGAGGACGGGGCTGAAGATGACGAGGAGCGGCGTGGCGATGGTCAGCACGATCACGGTGGCCGCGAGGATGAGCCCCGAGAGGACGAGCATCGATCCACCCGCGGTGGCCGCGGTGGCGGCTTTCACCACTTGGTAGGACCGCGGCTGGTTCTGCTGCTGCTGGTGGATGGTGCTGCCGTGCTGCTGCGACTGGTCCATTTGCTTTTAGCTTGTTACCCTCAAATTGGACGAATTTTGGATCTCTTGTGTAAAATGTGTTCTTGTAGCGAAAGTTTGTTTTGGGAGGTGGGTGTGGATTTATACAAAAGGGTGGTGAGGTGGAGAAGACACGTGTCGGAAGGTTGAGGCACGTGGTGAGCGGGTTGTCATGCAACGGTTGCATGAAGGCTCAAACTTTTTTCCGTCTGTGGACACGTTTTGCTAGCTAGCTACTCGTTTTCGATTTTTCCTTTTTCACCTTCGACTGAATCCGGATGCCGTTCTAACCAGGTTCGGTCAAACCGGTTTATATCGGTGCGTCGCTAAAACAAGTAGAATGCTACAATCTTTTCGTTAATGGTGGTTTGACCGCGGTGGTACAACTGGTTTACACTGATTGTGTCGGTTTTAATAGAACACATGCGAAAAATATGAAAGTACAAATCCCTATGTCCGATTTTCTTACCATAAACAAAATGACCTCGTTTTTGGTGAACTTTATGAGCAGAAAATTGTATTTTTTAAAAATGATGATTTATCATTATAGTTTGTAACATGTTTTATTTAAATATAAATATATTGACGCTAATTTATTGCAATCAAGTATGAATAGACGGTAAATGTTGTAATTAAATATGTGCATTTATCATTTTGTTTATGAGATTGTATTTTACTTGAATATGAATGCAAATTGAAGGGAGATCTGATCAAAATAATACTAATAAATTATAGGGAGATCGTCTTGACCAAGGTTGTCAACCCGCGGGTCGACCCAATTTGACCATGACCCGGTGAGAAAAACGGGCCGCACACAGACGTCGGGCCGACCGCTATAAGGTACTGGGTTGGAGGTCAAATTGTGTCATTTTTTTCTTTAGTTTGCGAAATGCGCCTATTTTCCAATTTTTCTTTTCGCCTAACTCAATCTTTGGAATACTAAGGTGAACATTTGAATATCTATGTTATATAACTGTGTGTGAATTTTCACTATATGTTGGATCTAAGTACGATATATTATTTTGGTGTAATATTATATGTTATAACTCATATGTTAGATAAGATTTGATATAATTTATGAGGATAAGTACAATATAATGACTCTTTCTATATTTTCGGGTCAAACCGGGATAAAACGGTTGACCCATTAGCTCGACCGGGTCCGGGTCAACCCGTGGGTTGACAACCTTGGTCTTGACTATTAATAATTCATTTTCTTTTAATAGTTTTTTACTTTCCTTACTGTTTTCTTTTTAAACCTGTTTTCTTTTTAAACCGACATTAAACAACATAAATCGATTACACCTTGATATGACCATTCCACTTACTAAATTGACGTAATGACGGGTTTGACAATCTTGCTCTACATTCAGTGCTCGTATGGAAAAATTCGAAGCAACAAGTGAAAGTGTAAAACAGTAGGGTTTTGTTTTCAACCGTACCAATCAGTATGATCTTCTCACAAACGGGCAATGTCGAATGTCGAATTCCAAATGTTGGAGACATCATTACAAATGGCACTCAGTCCCTCTGTTTTAACTTAACGTCGCCAATCACTATTACAGCTTTGCAACGACGATGAAATGAGAATTAATATAAACAACAATACAAACACTATGAGAGCTTCTTGAAGCTCAGCCTGCAAAACGCTTGATGAGCCAACTCTTTCAACTGTTTGAGCCTTTGGCTAGGGTTGCCTCTTCTTCCAGAAGTTCGACTTTAGCTTTTCCCGCCTTCCGAATCCTGCTTCTGAATTCCCTCCAGAACCAGGTTGCATTTGTTCATGCTGCGTGCATCCAACAGCCCGTGATTCCACAGTTTTACCATCAGCAGTCTCCAGCAACTGCACCCAAAAAAACCCAACTCAATTGCTGCTGAAATTCTGGTTGTATATCATCTCATTTGCAGTCGTCGAATAATTAAGCAAAGCATTTTCCTCAGAAAGATGTTATCTTTACGTACCAGAGTAGGGCTGGAGCTGCTAAGAGGCTTTTCCCATGGAGCCTGGAGAATGCCTCACACGCCCACGGGATGTGCCCATCGGCCAGGACTCTGCCAACATGCCAACAGTTATTGGAAGAAGAAAAAAAAGAATTGAGGAAAATGAAAAGCACAGTGGCGACTACTACTGATCCAAAGGGTTTCTTTCAAACCTCTGCTTCCGGACAAAGGAATTCCACAAGTGCATTATATGTTTCTCGTCCTTGGTCACATCAACAAAGTCATCAAGCATCTGCAGGGCATCATTGCACGAGGCAGATGATTAATATGTGGATTAATAGTACATACATCTGGCCGTTGTTTCATGGCGTAGATTATGGCCGAAAGAATCAAGCATACCCTTCGATCTTCGAAGTCTGCAACATCATCGTCAACTTCATCCTCACTGTCCACATCCGATAGCACTTGCTCCAATGCCATTGGCTGCAAACATAGGGAGGAGTTCAAAATATTTCTGGGTCATCAAATCCACATATATTTATCTACAACTTGCATCTAAAACTCTTATGGATATTGCTTCAATAGGTTGCTGGCCAACTTATCTAAGAGGCATGCAGCTGCACAGATGCATAAGTTTCTATTGACACTTTCGAAGGGTTTCGAATGTGTTTGATCATGTGTGACCACAAATGCATCACAATGATACCATCTTAAATGCATGGAGATAAAAAGTATTGAAGATACACTCAATGAAAACGCAGATCTCATTTGTTTCTTTTTTCGGAACAATTTCAATCTAAAAAAGAACTGAGACTACAATGCATTTGCACATACACTCGCATAAAAGAACACAAAATGAACTGCAAGTAACTGTAATGAAATTCTACAAATGCACTACCCACTCTCATTGGATTGCGGAGAAAGCGAACTGCTCTGTGGAAGAAGAAAAAACAAGCACTGAAAACAATATTCAGTTACCTGAGCTCTATGTGAGTGAAAAAACAGTCGTTTGTGAAGAAGGCTGCGGCTGCAAAGATACACAAAAAATTTCATAAGCTGTATGAACAATCTGAGAATCATAATCTTGATCCAAAACCACTATCCCCCCCCCCCCCCCCCCCCAAAGAAACCAACACACACAGACAAAAAAAAAACATAGTGTGCACTTAAATGCATTAACGCCCCCTAATTGGGAGCATATATATCCAAGGGATTAGAGGTGAGCTTAGAACATACTTCTTCAGATCTGACCGATCAGCAGATAACTTCCTCGCCTTGGCAAATTGTATCATTGCAGGAGGAACAACACTGTTATCAGATGCCAACTGAACACCTTCAGCTTCCTGGTGCCCTTGTGCTCCAGAAACTGAAGCCCCAATTTCATCAAAGACAGAAGAAACTTTTCCTGCACCGTCTGCAGCACCACGGCTGATGCTTACCATGCTCTTGCCACCTTACAAACAAGGATCCAGGTCACACAAAGAGGAGGAAAAAGAAGTCAGTGCAACATGATGCTATCAGAAAATACATTTCCGCTTAGAAGGAGAAAGCACTCCCGATGCATCAGCAGGGTTTCTGTTTTAAATATTCTTCTCATAAATTTCGTGCAACATACAATTTCTACCTTCCATCGAGTTCAAACAAAGGCGTTTAACATCTCAGAGCAACCACACAGAAAACCCTTTGCGTATCCCAGAAAATGGCATTCATGCACCACAGAATATTAATTACTCAACCAAACAGATCACCTTTTTTACTCAGCAACCTTTTGCGACACTGCCCTAGTTATCGTCATTCTCAGTAATTGTTCATTGAGATGTAAGCGCATTACCATCTATCCAATTTCAGTTACAATAAACAAAGTACATACCATTAGCTTTATCATGAAGGTCACATGCTCCAGCATGGTGGTTTGACTCAAAGATCAGAGGATAGACATGCTTTACTTGTTGAACATGGCTTTTTGGTTTCCTGCGCCTCGATTTCTTTGAGCTATGATTACATTACCAAATCAATGAGAATCTTTAATATAGAAAAAAAATATACGAGTAGTTAAAGCACCTTCACTTACCAAAAGGAAAATGTTTGCTGCTTTGGATCAACACCACGAGCAACAACCTGAAAGCAACAGTTTGCACATAAATTCCAAATCGGCAATTTTAACAATCCATATTTGGGACGCAACAAGGTTCCACACTCCAACCACCCCTAATCATTATCATCATACTTTAATCGGTCACAACTCACAACAATATAACTAGGGATATATGCATACCTCAGACCTCCAAACATCGGTTTTAACGGATATATTTACTGCTTGAAATTCTTCAGTTACCTACAGGAAATGAAGTTAGCATTTAGCACCACTTAGTCCGAAGGTCGAATACTTGCAGAAACTCAACGAGGAGATTCTAGAAGTTCACCAACCCAGAACTCAAAGTTGAAGAGATCATGTGAGGCAGGCAAATGGTATCTCAGACCCTGAGAAGAAGATAATCATGTCAGCATCTCTCATCCATACAGGAGAAACCGAAAATATATAGCAACCCAGAAAGGAATGAAGGGAAACATAAGGTGAGGAGGCTCACAATATGAGATCACAAGTTCTACCTTAAAGCTTCCACATTTTACCAAGCAAAATGGACAAGAGAATTCTTCAGTTACTGCAAGTTACAGATCCAAACCATTAGACAAGCAGGGAAGACGAATTTTCAGCTCAAAATTATCATACAACCAACAATTAATCCGAAATAAATAAGAGCTGAAAGAAAAAGTGAATATCCTTTGTCACAGAACTGAAAGTCCTGAGGATAATAGAGCTAAACCCACGTTTCCACAGAAAATAAGAGAGAAATTAACACTACCTTCGGTCTTCTGCAACTTATTATTATAGTACCTATAATTGAAAACAACATTTCCAGCCCTCAACCTAAGCAAGACAATTAGTCATCATTAGAAGCTGGAAGTTGGGCAACAAATCATTTGCATAATGGAACTCTATGCTAGGGAGTAACCAATGAAAGGGACTATAAAGTAGAAAGTTCAGAACATAGACATGCTTCTCCATTTGGTAAGGTGGATAGAATTGCATGGAAACCGAAGACCAAGCCACTCTTTCTACACCAGCCAAATCTCATATCACATAAGGTATTTACCTAATAATATGAGACAAGGAGGAAGAAGAAACATCACTGCATGTGTATGAATGATAGGGAGACTTTTCCCTAGCTCCAATTTCTTCAGCAGAGACATTGACCTGCACTTGCGAAGCATCCTAGCAGACAAAAATAATCAATTGTCAGATAGTTGCCAGGAAAGCTATGCTGAAAAACACAATTGTTTAATATACTTACATTCTCAGACCCTTTTGGAATTTGTACAAAAACACACTTATCACCGTTTGAACAATTCAACTGCAAGTGTAAAATGGATCATTCAGTAGCAGTAAGCACACACAGGAATAAAAGGGACTGAACATCTAAGAGCATAAATCTTAATTAATATTATATGTTAACATTTAACTGTAACCGTAGAACTCTATGCAGAGGGTGACCATCTACTCATGAAGAAAAGAAATGCAAGCTCTAGAACAGTCACCAAAAGACAAAATTTATCTGTCTATCGTCAACAGTTTAGACCTAGAGGCTAAATCAGTAACAGTACGTCACATGCCAAGTGTTATTGACCAATCAGCAGCCCAGGATTATCAAAGACTTTTGGATGGTTTTGCTACATGTCATGCAACCTTACTCACAATGTCTAATGGGCAAAAAAAGGCAAACAAAGAATAAAAGACAATTGTCTCATTCGTACCTTTAAGAAGCATGAATACATGTCCACAGCTGATGCAACCTCTACTCGTTGTCCCAAGGCTAAGTTTGGAGACTTCTGCCATGAAGCATAGAGTGACTCTAGTTGTATCTTGCCCAGTAGGCAGCATCCTCCAACATTTTCTGTCATGAAACAAAAACAAATAGACCAACAAAAGAAGACTTGGATAACAAACAAAAAGAAACCATAATAATTTACAAAGGTATCAGCACCTCCAGGGTCCAGCTTAAGAGATGATTCATCCTACTTATTCTATTCACCGTATGCATCCAAATTTATTCTGAAGCATCAATGCAGAGGCCATAGAGAATTATAATTCATCCTAAACTATAGTGTAACACAGCAGACAATTTACCCAACCCTCGGCCAGCTTATGCTTCGCCAGAATCTCTTACACGAAGTAAAAAATAAACTCATCAATATCCAGAAGACCCATGGCACATACTAATATGCACAATAACACCTAAGAAACAGTTGCAACATTTTATATCAGATCAAAAGGGATAGGAATTCCAGACCTACATGACTCTTGGTCAAATCAAGTCCATGCACTGCATTCTGAGCTCCAGCTGCAAGGAAGATTCATCAGATGAAATTTTAGCAGCAGAATCAAGCAGAAACTCTGAAACACTAAGGGCAAACTCCATACCGAAGCTGACAAGTAAGAGAGAAAGTGACCCAGAATTTGCTTCCGATGCTAGCTTATTAGATTCTGGAAGTAGGAAATGTGCTTGTGCTTGTGTACTCCCATTAACTCCAGCAAAGTCATTCATAATGCACGCTCGACTAAACCGAAAAACTGCAGAATGCTTCTTCACCGGGCACAAACCAAAAGCAGTTGATTAGCAAACTTTAATAGGAACACTAAGGATAAACTCCTAGGCCAACAATTACAGCAAAAGATTGATAAAAGGAATAGATGGTTTCTCACCTCTGGAGTCAAACTCTCTGAAACAAGTCTTGCCAGCAAAATGTACAGAGGAAATGGGCTAGGAGATTGAGAAGCTCCATTGAGTGTCATCGAAAGTGAAACTGTCATTTGTATTCTACATGTACAGCAATAGGAATGTGATTAGTTACTCAGTCATGTTTGAATACTTAAAAGATGAAGAGAAGAAGAAAAAGAGACAATCCCAACTTTGATTAGGAATGCTGCACCCTAGTGTTGGTAACTGACAGTTACAAGCAAATCAAAATAAATGTGAACACCCTAAATTCAAACGTTGGGCCAATCCACAAGAAGAAGTATAAAGAAAAAAAAAATGAAATATTATGAGCATACACATTCCAAAACGGTCTGCGCCGAACGGTCGAGCCATTGACTATATTGATGCTGAAGTTCCACTCTCACACATCACACCATCCAACAAAGATATCAGAATGTTCAGCCTCATCACAAATTTCTTTTCAAGGGACCATACTAACAGTCACAGAAACATCTACCAGTCCCCCCACAACGCAATAATGAATAGTTTCACCAGCATTGTTACTGCCCACCACTAGCATTAAACTAAAGCAGTCTAGACTAACACTGTTACATTCTAGAACATGACAACATTCACAGGTAGAGATTTGTACCTCCTTTTATTCTTTGACTGTATCTTGTACTCCAAACACCTCTGTAGAAACAACGGCTACAACAAGAAAAGAGAACCACAATTCAATCAGAAAACAAAGGAAATTGAGAGACAGAGACTGCCAAGAACTGATCTTTCCCCCCCCCCCCCCCCCCTACACATCCAAATGCCTCCGCCGGAGAACCACTCAGCAAGTAGAGAAGAATATACCAATGCTTGACACAAACTACTCACATTCCCAATAGCCCGACGTTGGAGGATGTTGTAGAGCTCAACGGGCTTGCAATAAGTGGAGAGGCTTTCCTCAGCTGCCATTTCTTCTTCAGCAGACAATCGCACACGACCATCATCACGGCACATCTGATCCGCACTTCGGCTATGCCTGACAAATTTGCAAGCAAAACGAGAAAAAAAAAATTCAAACTTTGGACAAAAAAATTATTTGACTTTGTTTCTCCGGACAAAGCAGACGAAAGGGAAAAAATCCCCGTCGGCGCGAGGAGGAGAAGAAGCATACGAGGAAGTTTCACGAGCCACCAAAGGGATTCCCGGCATTCTGCGGCTACACAGTTCCAGCAGTCAGCTGTTCCATAGCCGTCTAAACCATTCAGTGCCCAGAAACTGGCTGAAATTTTTTTTTTGAGCTTCCGGAAGCCGATGGAAAGTCTATACCCTAAAATTTGTGTTTGGGCTTCGGACAAAACCCTAGCGTGAGGGAGAGTAGAGAAAAATGAAGAGAGGAAGAGAAGAGAAGCGAAAGATTGGAGCAATGGCGGATTGGTTAGCTAATTCCAATCGCAATCTATTTTGCAGGGGAAGAGAATCTATTGGGTCGAGAGAAGCTCGTAGAAAATTTTGAATTTTTTTTTTCTTTTCCGTTTTCCTCTCTCGAGGATATGGAACAGCGAGAAGGCGAGGGGCTAATGGTAAAATGCCGTGATAGGAAGAACAGCTCCGCGCTAGGACAAAGACAAAATCCGAAATGGTTTCCGCAATTCCGCTTTATCGGCTATGACAAAAAAAAAAAAAATCCTGATATCAAAAAAATTCCTATAGTTTAGTCTTTGTGTCAATTGTGTCACATTGTTTTTGTTTATGACAATTGAAACCCAAAATTCGATTTTTTTCCTCATTGTCGTGAGTCGTGATAACGTCACCATCGTCGATTCTCTCTCCTCTCTCTCTAGTGGCTTTCTCGTCGAATTCTTTCATCGAGCCCACAATTCGAATCGCCAGACTCCATGGGGTTCCAAGTACTCGAACTTTCCTTGTATCTGGCCCAACGGAACCGACGCGGCACGCGAGATCGAGCCCTCGCCACCATGGTTGCCCATCTCTCTCCTGAATTCTGGATCCCGAAGCTACCTAGTTCAACCCTATAATCCCCTAAAGTATGTATAGTTTAGTTGTACCAACAAAGTTTTTGGCTTTCAACGCAATGTATAATAGTTTGATGCAATGACATGACTGATGAGAAAGCTACAAAATGCAGAGCATGGAAGACCTTGTCCTAACCTGAACAATTTGGTTGATGTATGACCTTGATGGGTGTGATTAGCCCTCATCTGATCAATAGTCATTAACGAATTTTAAGTTCGGTGTAGAATTTTATTGTTATGAAACGGCGGTGTTACCACAAAATACTCTATCACTGTATTGTCTTGTATAATTTTTTTTTTAATTTTTCTATTATAACTGCTTCTTCATCTATCAGGAAATCTCTGGTGTCCACATACATTTTCATTACGTCGAAAAGCTCTAGTAGCCAACCTAGTCCGTCGAGCATCTCATAAGCTTGCCATCTTTACCAATACCATGTTCCCCCTCATCAATACTCATCAAGAAAGTGACTGAAGGTGATGAAGCTATAACCAATACACATAAGAGGAACAATGGAAGTTGGGTGAGCGAGGAACCTAAAACAAATTATGTAAGCTAATAGTAATGTTGTAAGTTGTTTTACTGAATCGCTATTTACCGCCCGCAGTTTTACTATTTGCCGGCCATAGTTAGAAAAAAAAAGACGATTGACACGACCGGCAAATAGTAACCCTCTTCTTTTATAGGGTAGTTAAAAGTTCCACTAACTTTTGTTAGAAATGCTTGTCCATACAGGAGGAGATGAAACCTGTGCATGCCCAAGCAAAAGCGGACGGGAAGACATTTTCAGTTCGCGAGATCGTTGTTCGTTGAGATGGTACCGAAGAGGAATGCCAAATAGGAAAAGATAAGGAAGTAGGGGTTTTTTCTAACAACTAATGTCGTGGCGGTCCGAGTCAGTAAAAGTTGTAGAGTCACTTACTGTGAAATCAGTTGAGCGTCAATTCTGAGCATTTGAAGATTTCTTCAAAAGTGTATTATTCAAAAAATTGGGATCATAATCATCACTCGAGCCAAATTTCGGGCCAAAATGCGGTATTAACCCATAGAATTCTAGGAGGCATCGAGTGTAATTTAGACGAAAGTCCAGTAAGCCTACACGTCAACACTCAATTTTTTTTTGAGCCAGTTGTTCTCTTCCTTCCGGCCCAAGAATCTTATCAACTCCCCACCAATCCATACGAAGAACTCTTAACCGGACACGTCACTCACCCAACCAAAAGAAAACCAAAATGCTCCACAAATTAGCCGCCGTCTCCGCCGCCACCACCGCCACCTCGCCGGTACTTCTCCTCTCCGCCACCGCCTCTTCTTCCTCCGCTCTCTCCAACCCATTCCTCGCCATCCCCAAAAGACTCAAACTTCCCACCTCAAAGCCTCTCTCTTCCAGACCCATCTCCCGTTCCCAGCCCACCACCATGAACATCCTCAACAAGCTCGGGTTCGGCGTCCGGTCCCCCGACCCGTCCGCCATGGACCCGACGATCCCCCAGAGCCCCGACGACGATTCCCCCGCCCCCGGCCAGCAGTTCGCCCAATTCGGAGCTGGGTGCTTCTGGGGAGTCGAACTGGTGTTTCAGAGGGTTTCCGGCGTTACAAAGACGGAGGTCGGGTATACTCAGGGTCTCCTCCACAATCCTACCTACGAGGACATCTGCACCGGTACTACCAGCCACTCTGAGGTGGTTAGGGTTCAGTTTGATCCCAAGGAGTGTAGCTACGACGCTCTGCTGGATGTTTTCTGGGCTAGGCACGACCCTACCACCATGAATCGCCAGGTTTGTTTGTATTGCTTTGAATTGATTGGGGTCGGATTGTTCTTGAGATGGTTAGCAGTTCTTGAGGCTCGTTAGAATATGTCTGGTTGCAGAACTGGGTGATGTCTGTTTTTCTTGTTTTTGGTGGTTGGATGTGATCTATGGTAGTGAAAGCTTGCTGAGTCCTGGAAGAAAATTGCTTGATATCTAGGTTTGGAGTGGTAGAGAATGAATTCTGTAATCAGAAATCCCTATCCCCTGCTGATGCAAAGGGGGATCAATTAGGACTGGTCTGCTTCATGGGGCTGGATTGGAAGGAATTCGGTTAGATTGATTTGCTAGAGTGCCCCAATTTTTGGATTGGATAGACTCGATAGCACCTCGTAACAGCGATAATCGGATTAAGCGTAGCTTGATATCAGTCTCGTGAAAATTAGCAGCTTCAGGTTGTTCAGAACGCCTTTCCGGCTATGCTCTCGATGTTGTTAAACCTATATAGACCGTCGAGTTCTGTACAGCAAAGTTAAGCCGAATAATGTACTAAAACCTGAGAGGGAGATCATCTCCGTGGTCTAGTGTCTCATCGATGATACCATGTTAAAAACGTCTGTGTTCATTCGATTTCATTCAGCTAGAATTGACAGGTTCATCTAGTATCGCTTGTCAGAGGATCATTTAGGGGTGTGGAGTATGTTATCTGATACCCAGCTCGATCAAATACGTTCTTAGAAGTGGTAGTGCTGGTGATATCGGGCCATTGTGTTCAAGTGTCCCTGATAAACCAGGGTTACACTTGTTGTTTCTTATGCCTTGGATATTATCACCATCCAGTTTTCTCCTTGTCTAATAACAACTGTGATCGCATCGTTCATTAACCATCTGAAGCTGTCGCTGAATCTGATTATGTGTTGGTGATCGACGTTGTACAGGGGAACGATGTTGGAACGCAGTACAGATCCGGGATATACTACTACACACCGGAGCAGGAGAAAGCTGCAAAGGAGTCGATGGAACGACATCAGAAGGCCTTCAACAGGAAGATAGTGACTGAGATTTTGCCAGCCAAGAAGTTCTACCGAGCTGAAGAGTACCACCAGCAGTACTTAGCTAAAGGTGGGCGTTCTGGTTTCAAGCAGTCCGCTGAGAAGGGCTGCAACGATCCGATCAGATGCTATGGCTAAAAGGCGGGCAGAGGCAGGCAACTGCCAATGTTCATATAAATAAAATAAGCTCATGGTGAAAAATGTGGAGGTGACAATATGAGTTTTATATGCAGAAAAATAAGCTGTGTAATTTGTGACCCTGCCTGAAACTACATTGCTTCTGCCGCTTCGTTCATGAATATAGCGTTGTGTTAACGAAAGTGCGTAAAGGAGTGTTATTTGGACCTGTTGGTTTGTGACGTGATATTAAAGCTGGTTTGATCATGGTCACGATGGTACGTGTTCAAATCGTCCCAATTGCTGGCTATGAGCTTGGAGCCATTGTTGTTATGCTTTTCCCGCCTTCCCTCCAAAGCTAGTTACTTTTGCAGAGATGACAGGTTTCCTTTCTTATACTGCCAACAAAACCGACCGACGCCATGTGCTTTGGCTGTCTGTCTCCGAAGATACGATGCGAGACCACGAGATCAGTTGCGCCTCTGGCTTTGGTATATCATTGTCAAGATGACATGTGATCAGTTTATTGTAGTTCCTAACAATAAGGCCCAAAATGTAAAGACAAGAAAACCACACTTGACGATGCCGATCGAATCGAAGCTCTGTTCTGTACTTTGGGATTCACCGTCCGTCAGGCTGCTGCAAATGCAGATTCATAAAAGTATTGTTGTCCCTTCTGCTTATCTAGTGCTACTTTATTCCCCGCCCGGCTTCTTTTACTTGCATGGGTTCTTCTTCGGGGTTCAAAATGAGACTAAGAAAATGCTCTAATGGATATGAATGGCAAATATGGTTTGGGCAGGTTAATCTATACCATCATCATTTCTATTTTCAAAATATCCAAATTCATACTCGTCCCAAACTCGTGAGATAATTTGTAACCTCATCCTTGCAACTGTAGATTTCAAGTATTCGTGGGTAATACCCACCTTGTATATAAAATGTTACTATACCTAGAACTCAACATGTGAATCTTTGATTATCATGCTAAACGAACCAAATAAGTCATGAAATCAATAGAGATACAACCATTCTTAATACGAAGTCAAAAGCATCCAATCCTAAACATCCATTAATTCATACAATAGTACATTCCGTACTATCCAAATTATTTGGTTAGTACACTAGGGAATGTGACACTCAATTACATTCCAGGTCTTTATTTTTTTTAGTTACTCCTCTTATCACTGAGAGATTAAAATATGAATCAAATATGTTTGTATACGGAGTAATATTCTTGGTGAGGCGAGCAAGAGTATTGTGTTTGGGGATGGGGATGGGAGGGGAGTCTAAAACCATACTTATCCTATCAGCATCAAACTTTTTGGGCGGAGACACTCAAGTACTCGCAGTGGGTGGTGGGGTTTGATTATCATCCCTACTTGCTCATCCATACTCGCCTATCAATAGATTAGTAACTAATTGATAACCATCATATCGGGAGTAAACCGCTAACCGACCGACTCTACTATCAACCCTAAATAGAATGTACTATTATCACATTCGATGTCTCAACTATCAATTATCTAATAAAATATTGGATCATTGTCCGCATTGAAGGCCAATGCACTCAAAAGCGTGATTTTGGTGAGCTAAAATCGTATAAATTGCAAGTATCACCAGCCCGCACTGTAATACAAATTCTAATGCTGGTATCAGAGTGGTAACAACTAACAACGTAACACATCTTGATTAGCCCAACCATCGATCTGGTATTCAACAAGAACAAATGATTTCCCCCCTTTAATTTTTCATGAATACAAAACAAAAACAAAAAAAATTCGATCGATCCATAGGAATGGAATAAAATAAAGAGACATATACGAATTCAGATCAGATCTATATATATATTGTTGATTAATTAATTTGCATGATATTCACTAAACGCACTACACAGTCTCGTGGGTTGAAAGCCCACTTTGCATGTGACCTTGTTCTCTCCTCCGACAACTTCCCCACTTCTTTTGTTCCTATATTTCCCCGATGATGATCTGGGTAGAAGAAGAAGAAGAAGAACACTATAATAAATGTATAACAAAGTTTAATTAATACCAGCTCGATCACTAGCTGGCTAGAAAGAAAAAGGCTGGAAAAGAAGGCTACAGACTCACGACGGAGTTGGCTATACTTGTAGTTTTGGAGAACTACGTACATCCACTCTTACAATTTTGGTCTTAGGTACAGTTGGTTGGTTACAAGATGTATGTTCATATATGTTAATGATAGGTATATTCCAAGAAAATATTATATATACTTTCCGTTAGATGTATTTTCTAGTAATTTCGATGAATCGGAATCGTCGATTAATGTTCCTTATTAAACCGACATTTAGTTTCGAGTTTAGTGAGCATGGCCTAAAGTTTATCCATCAGAAGTTTGTGTATATATAGTTAGATATATAGATAGATATATATATCTCACTAGTTAGGAGCTACGAAGAGTACACCGGTCTCACCCGTGTTGATATATATGCTAGTACATAGTGCAAGATAACAGACTATCAGACTTCTTCCTCCTAAAGTCGCGTTTAATTCACGGGATTGAAGTTTGCCACAAGACCACCATGCTATGTGCGTTATAGACAACTGTTAATATTGGAGGTCGTGAGGACTTGAACACGCGAATTCAATGACAAATAACCAGCTTTGATATCATGTCAAGAACCAGTTGGTCTCATCAATAACTCGAGTGGTTGGGACTTGGGAGAATGTTAATTATATATGTGGATTAAGATATCACTCCCTAACGCATTCCCTCACTCACCTGCTTGAAATTTTGCACTTTGCACAAGCCTACATACCGTATCTTGTGCTTTAGATAAATTTGCCGTGACGATCACTTGATCAAACCAGGTCTAATATCATATCATGAACCAACTGGTCCCAACAATTCAAGTTATTGGGAGAAGTCCATCCATATCGAATACTTAATGCCTCCTTTGTTACCTCCATACACTAGATAGAACAGACCACAAGCTAACTAGCTACGTTTCTTCATTTAGAAGTGAAGTTACATATATATGATCCTCTTCATCTTCAATTGAATCAATTCCAATTGGTTGTCCGCCAAATTCTTCGAGCACAATTCTGCCAATCATCATGGGCTGGCTCCCAGTAACTAATTCCTCCACCTCATCACCAACTTCTCCTTTACCTATCTTACCGGAATAGAAAATCTCGCGATCTAAAAGGCTTTGATATCAAGTAAAAAATCAGTTGACCCCAAAAACACCAACTTCTCTTTTACCAATCTTACCGGAATAGAAAATCTCGCGATCTAAAAGGCTTTGATATCAAGTGAAAAATCAGTTGACCCCAAAAACTCGAGTTATTAAAAAACGTTGAATTATAGATTATACATCACTTACCAATAGAAGCAAAACCATCATTACTAATTCCCTCATTATTGGTGTTGAATGCTACGCGAAGTTGGAGGAACCGATCATGAGAAACACATTAGACTTTGAGACGACACATGTTGTTTTTATTAGCATTCCTTTTCCTGGCTGCGGCCAAACTTACCAAATTCACAGAAAACATGACACGATATTAAGGAACGATGATAAGTGACAACAAGACAACCTAATGAAGAAAAAGAAAGGGAAGGGAGGGAGGTGTATATTAATTAGATAGCATTAACAAAAAAGTTTTATCTACTAATTAATCACGCTTTAGGTTTACACTTCCCCTTCACTTTAACCTATAAAGCAGCATTAGTCACAAATCACACTATAGATCAACAGTAACGTCTGTATATAAGTGCAAACTTGTCAAAATAATAGAATTGTGTATGGAAATTAACTCATATAGTCATATTTTAAGTGCAAACTTAGTTGATTTTACCATTTTGTTGACTACTTCAGTCTATTGAGATATATGATGGAGGAGACATCCGATAAAATTGGAACGATACAAAAATGATTAGTAAGGATGACACGCCTAAATCGAAATATATGAGCCATGCAAGTCTCTCGTGTATGGACGATGAGTAAGATAACATACAGGACGATCTGATGTGTCTCCTCGCGGAATTCGTAGCAGAAGAGAATGCTATATTTCGGAGGTAATAACAATCAGACTTTGTGGTGAAAGCACTTGAACGCAATGTGTCGTATAGTTTAGAACGACTACTTATTGGATGTTGGGAGATGCATATCTCATTGGTGGGTTCAAAATTTGTAATCGATGCTCATACAATCTTTCCCCTAGCAATAAAAAGCCGACCAATGCTAGACTCGTAGTATAGTGGCTTCGAATTGTATTCCAAGGAACATATGTTCCTTGTCACAAGAGTGCTCCCACCCTCTTTTTTCCCCACAATTATAAGGAATTAATGTGCCATTTAATATATGTATAAGAATGATGATAAATTTTTAAATGCATGAATTTGGTTGAATAAGATCAATCAACTAATTATCTTGTATCCATCTAAATTACAATCACAAAAATAGAAAGACATCAATCAATTTAAGAGTTGACGATAAAAGTGCATTAAGATTCTACCAGCACAAGTTATGGGCCCATAAAAAGTTGTTTTGTTCCATACTCCAGCTAATTGCGACTTGCGAGTACCCGTTGAATTTGACGCGGAAAGGGTTAAAGCTTAAAACTTACAAGTCAAATCCATATTTGAGGAGGAAAATCCAATATTTACCATTTGGAACGCTTAGAAACTACCAAAAGACCTGTATTTTTATCGTTGACCAGCATTACCCCCGGCCAAAACTTCTTCATTTTTTGAAGGATTTTGAAATCGTATCAGTTGTACCGAAAAAGTCAGTAATAAGCAGTGACAGAGCCACTTTGTAATAGTATGGATTCTGAAATCTCACCTTGACTTTAGAGTAGGACACAAAATATAATAGTACTTGTACACAGTTCATAATACTCGCCGCCGCCCGCCAGGACTTCATGTTCACGGTTTTCTAGAGAGTTATTGTGGGTATGCATTCACCTTGCATACTATATAAATAACTCTGGATTTTACATAAAAACTGGTATCTAATTATCGATTTTGAGTTTACTAATTCCTAATTTAGTATCGAATTATCCACCCTCAAACTAAAAATTTGTCGACAAACTGTGAAAACCTCCGTGAGTCATACAAATACTAACAAAATTCATGTTATATATATTTTTTAAAAATCAGATCCACCTTAAGTGAAATTCTCGTCTACACGGTATTTTCACTATTTTGTAGAGAAGTCGTTGTTTAATCGTAGTTCAACCATTTTATACCGCAAAAATCACATACCGATTTAGCATTCTACATGAGGGTTTTTTTCCGACCGAAACATCGATCGATAAGGTACGATTTCACAAACACGGATATACAGCAAACCAACTTTATTATTATTATTTATTATTATAATAATAAAGCTTCAGACACCAACAGGCAACAGCCAGAAAAGAACTAAGCAAGAAGGCTAGCTGCGCTTCCTTTTTCCCCTGAAAAGTGATATAAAATCCCAACAGCCAGCACTAACCCAATCAAGCCCAGACCAAAACCCACAAAACCAAAAAAACCTCCCCCTTCTCTCTGCAGTTACAGCCCCAATAAAGAAACCGGGGAAAAAGAAAGCAAGAAACAGCAATGGCGGCACTAGATTTGGAGATCGGTTCTTCGTCGTCATCATCGTCGATGCCGCCGAAGGTGATAAGGTTCCTCTCCTGCCTCCTGCAGCGAGTCGCCGACTCCAACGACGTCATGATGACCCAATTCTGCGGCGGCGGCGGCGGCGGAGGATCGATGTCGATCTTCCACGGGCTGAGCCGGCCCAACATTTCCATCCACAGCTACCTGGAGAGGATCTTCAAGTACGCCAATTGCAGCCCTTCCTGCTTCGTCGTCGCCTACGTTTATCTGGATCGTTTCGCGCAGAAGCAGCCTTCGATTCCCATCAGTTCGCTCAACGTCCATCGTCTCCTCATCACCAGCGTCCTCGTCTCCGCCAAGTTCATGGACGACATGTAAGTAGTTCGTAATTGTGTGATCTCATTGTTGAAATGGGGCTTCCCTGTGAAAATTACAGTCTCCCCCTGTTTTTACTCTGAAAGCAAAACAGGGGAGATTGGTGTATTTTCAGCTGATTCAAATCTCCCCCTGTTTCCATGAAATCCAATCCGATCCCAAGATCTCAAATTTCGGTCTCCCCTGTTTCTCTGAAAGCAAAAACAGGGGAGGAGATTGATACATTTTCCAGCTGATTCAAATCTCCCCTGTTTCCGTGCAATCCAATCCGATCCCAAAATCTCAAATTTCGGTCTCCCCTGTTTCTCTGAAAGCAAAAACAGGGGAGGAGATTTGATACATTTTCCAGCTGACTCAAATCTCCCCCTGTTTCCAGGAAATCCAATCCGATCCCAGAATCTCGTTTTCGATCATAAACCCAGAAAACAATTAGCAAAATTTGGTTTAGGTGATGGGTCCATGGCCAGCTCATGGCTCATGATTCGCCCACGTGATAAGCTCCGTCCTTTCCTTTCTCTCTCGACAAGAAGCACCACAAATTTTTTTTGTTGTGGCTGTCTTTTGTCTGTTTCCTTCTTCTTCCAGCTACAAAAATTAAAAAGGACCAACCTTTTTGGGCAAATTGCAATGGCACCCCGTCGCCATCATTCACCGACAGCTCAATTCCGATCGAAGCATTATATTACACGATTCACTCTCATTCGCTAATGAATGCTCCCCTGTTTTTTTGGTTTTAATTAACTCCAATTCTGCAACTGCTTTTTGATTTCGCAGATACTACAACAATGCGTACTACGCGAAAGTTGGGGGGATCAGCAGAGAAGAGATGAATCTGCTGGAAGTGGATTTCCTGTTCGGGATCGGATTCGAATTGAATGTGACACCAACCACGTTCCACACTTATTGCTCCCACCTCCAAGCTCAGATGGCGATTCTCCAATCCCCTCCTTTCCCTTTACAGCTTGTGGATCCGACGGTTGAAATGGACATGGCAGCCGCAGCCTCAGCCGCCAGATCATCGTTAAGCGTTCACCATTGCTGCTACAATGAGGACGATTCGACCCATCAGCAGCAACTCGCTGTTTGATTCATACTCTGTCCTTTCCCTTTTGATCTTTTCGTTTTGTTTGGTTTCTAGATCGAGTAGTTTTTGTGTAGGTGGGAAGGGCGATGAGTTTTGGGTTCAACAATTTGCCCACTTTTTTTTGGCTATGTGAAGTTTGGAAGAACTTTGGGGGGGCGATTTTTCTTGTAAGCTACTTCACGGGAAAGTGCGTAATGGTCAAATCTCTCATTTGGCACAGCTGCTGCCGCAATACACTTTTGGAGAAAACTATTTCTGCGTTCTGCTGCTGCTCTTTGTTTGTCTTTTCATATGGGTTAAATCTGTTACAATTTACAACAGTAACGCTATCTAGAGCCGTTTAACGGAAGTTCAAAATGTTTTATCGTGTAGTGAAGAAACGAGAAGATGAGAGTGAAGAGAAAAAAAGAGTGTGTGGCTAGGGTTTGTCATGCTCATCACTTTCCAAATTCACGAACCTACCATCATTCTCTCTTTTAGGATGGTACGCGTGGTTAACTGCTAACCGCATCGACGATTAATGGTTAACCGTTAATTTTTGGTGGGTTGGCTAACGATAATGATTTATAGTGCTAACTGCATTATAGGTTAACGATTAATCGTTAATCGATCCGACTATCATCCCTAACGTTATCTCAACTCTCAACGCGTAGGATAGCGGTAATATAGTTTTTATCTATTGACATAAAAATATACTAACACTAACTCCAGCCAATAGAAACATTTCGTTTTGATGGCTTTTGTATTCCATAGGGTTGACCATTATTAACGTGGATTTGTAAAGGAGGACATGCTTGTCATTATCAAAAATTACATCGGGGCACAAGCGTGTGGCGTTCCTCATTTATTTCGCATCTTGCGCCTCACCATAGGTATCATGAAGTAGACCACAAAACACAGACAGAAAAACACAACAAACCACACCTCGAATACCATAAAACATACTAGAACCTCATCACACCACATAATTCATGAAACATACCAGAAAATTCAAAAGCATAACACATGTTCTCTCAAGCATACCAGAATTTTGTTGAAGCAGATCATAACCTTATAAAGCAAACCACAAGTTTCTTATAGCAGATTACAAGTTCCCCAAAGTAGAAAGCAAATCACAAATTTCCTAAAACAGACAAAAAATCACATAAAGCAGACCACAAGTTCTCTAAGGCAAAAACATCTTCAACCACATCATAACTCTCATGTAGCATATCAGAAAGAAGAGAAATCTCACCAGAAACCTCACGAAGAAACCAGAAATGTTACAGAGGATGACAAGTAATTAATATTTTATAATGAACAAATATTTTTATAATGATAATATAATTTTTTGATAAGTGAGAAATGAGTGTGTAACTATTATGTATAATAATTATCATAATACAATACTTCTAATAATTATGTTACCATGATACTAATACTAATGGGTGCTAACATGTGAGACTTGGTGCTAATAGCATCTTCTGAAATTAATCAAATTATATATAGCTCTTAGTCGCGTTACTTTGTCCAACATTGTTGTTGGATTATATTTCAACCTACCACCAAATAATGGAAAATTGATTTTCACGATATGGCGAGGTTAGGGTGCATAACCTATGGTTATTTATAAGTATACAATTAAATTTAGATTAATGGTGCTAAACGGGGTCAAAGATAAGGGGTCAAAGTCTTTTTATTTTTAATTGGCTTGTATTTTCTTTATTTTAACTTGAATGGTATAATGTTCTGCACGAATTGGACGATCTCATTATTATCTATAAAATTATATCAATTTTTGATATGTTTTTGTACCACTCATTACCACCATGACACCATTATATATCACATTCATTTTAACCAAAATAAAAAAAATTATACAAGAAACGAGTTTATCTTGGTAAACAAATTTCCGGAAAAAAAATTTCAGAACCAAATATACTACCATATTCTACCATGGTATAAAGTGGTAACTACTAACTAGTGGTAGATGGTGTTGAAAGGTGGCAAATTTTGGTTAATATATTTCTACTATCATGTATACAACCATTTTATATAATAATATATTCGTGCTGCCTCGTTTCACTTTCATATAAGCATGATTAATATCTTTTGTATTACCAATCATTACCACTATGGTATAGATTGCTAAAAAATATTTTGAATTTTGGGATATTTGTGATCTATATTTTTCTCCTAAAAACTAAAACATGAAATAAACATACCAATTTGAAAAGCATTATTCATTTATTAAACACGGATCAAGTTTTCCTATCTAAACTCGGTTTCCAATTTTCATATGTCCTTATTACAAACGGATTAGGTTTTCCTTCCATAACGAACACGAAGAACCTATTTCCTCTTTCTTTTGCCCTAATCGCCCAATCCCACAAAATCCATAAATAGCAACAGGAAACCAAGACGCACGCCAGAAAATTAGAAACAGAGTAACTCTGCCTCTGCAGCATTGTGAAATCAACCCCACTGAAAAATTCTGCAGAAAACCAGCGATGGTGCTCAGAATTCGCGTCCGATTCGGAAAACACGACATCGCCGGCGCCGGAGATTGCGTGCAATCCCCAACGACCAAGCGCCAAGGAGTCCGCCGGGAACCCAAGAAAGACTCTGCTCTGCAGATAACGAAAACAGAGAGAAGGAAGAAGATGCAAAAGCAGCCGCTAATTCCAGCCGCCGGAGAAATCATCAGGAAGCCAATCAAACTGAGGATTTTGATTAATTCGGAACAACGCCGCGGTTTCGTGGAGGTCAAGAAACCGAACCCACCACCGGTAGTTCAACAGCCGGCTCGTTGGCCTTTCTGGGCTCTGTCCCCAGGTCAGGCGTCCGATTCCGTTTCCAGTTGTTATGACGGCGGCGGCGGCGGAGAATCCGTTTCCGTTAACCAACCCTGGCGGCCGACTTACCTCTCTTACCCGGAAGTAAACAGCTACTCTGGATTTCGCGGCGGCGGCAGAGTAAGGCCTGGCTGCTCGGAGTACAAACCGGTGGTTATCTCCGGTGGCGATTCCGACAAGGACGATGCCGAATCCGTGGGTGAGAACGATCCGGTGTATGATCGGAGTGATGATGGCGAGGTGGAGTCTTGTCCAAGCGAGCGACCTCGACGGATTAGGGTTTTGAGAAAGGAGCGATAATAGTCTAGTCAAAAGATAGCAGAGGAAGGAGTAGGCAATCCAGTTGAAGAGCGAAATTGCTTCGCTGATAATTGCAGAGCTAGCTTGTAATATATGATTAAGAGCTTAAAAATGAACACAACAATGAGTTGATGATCTTCTAATTTTGCTATTTTGCTTCGTTGTATATTGCAATCGTTGCCCTGTGGTTCATTTACAGTATTAATCGATAGCTTCTCATATGTAAGTTGAACTATATGTTGGTATGAGTTAGTGTAGGCAATGTAGTCAAACTTCTGATTTTACGATGTTGCATATGAGTTTGGATCCTGATTTTAATATTATATCTTTAAATCTTTTAAAATTACGATTAAAATCATAAAAAATTTAGAATCTATGATTTAACGATTCTGGTGAATGTCAATTGAGGCGAAATCATGTCAATTCTGCTTCCCATGGCCCAACATCACGAAGAACCCTAGCTCATGCTCCTGATTTTTTTCTCACGTTCCACAACAACATTCAAAGTCTGCCATCTCTAAACCTATACAAGTATACCACAAGTTCCCTGAAGCAAACACAAAAGCTAACAAAATAGTAGGGATGATGTTACCTGGATTTTCCGGATTAGAGCTTCCGCGCAATGTGTCTCTCACGAATCGAACAAAGGAACTCGAGAATGGATTTAGGTATCGTTTGCTTGTGGGATTTGGGTGATGAATTTGGCACCCAAATCCCAATCATCATGGAATTTATACAAATCCATTGTTTGCTAAGTGACACAAATCCGTGGGGCCCACGAATTTAAACCCCATTTTTAGATCCAAATCCGTGGACTCCACGTATTTGCAAATCCCACATTTCACTTGGAATTTGTCAATGAAAGGCAAAATGTGATACAAATCCATCATAAATCTATAACAAACAATGTACTCTTCCAAATCCTCAATGCAACAAATCCATTATAAAGTCAAAGGTTTTTAAAACTCAAAACACTCATTTTCAAATCCAGCAAGCAAACGAGACGAAGAGAAATATAGAGGATGTGAAGGCTAAAACTACTAAGCTACTTGGGTTCCAATCTTCTAAAATTATTAAGCGAGAGACAAAGTACATATTTATAGGCATAGAAGTCTCTACATTTACCTATCTAGAACATGACTCCTAATCCTATAAGAAAGCTAGTAACAATAAGACAAATCCTACTTGAACAAGGAAACTACTAATAAAGACAATAATAATAAAAGACTACTAATACTAAAACAATAAGGATAAGTAGGCCCAAATAATTAGCCCAATTGCTACGATGGCCCAGTTCTCGTAACATGACAATGGGACAGGTTTAGGATGTGGCAATTGAGTACTCTTGGTTGTGGGTTTGATTGTCATCTCTATAAAGCACAATACAAGTCCGTTGAAGCATAACATAAACCTCATAAAGCAGGCAACAAGTACTTTGAAGCATACCAGAAACCTGACAAAGTAAATCGCAAATTCCATGAGCAGACTAGAAACCTCATAAAGTATACCACAAGTTCCATGAAATAGACAGAAAATATGTGCAACCACACGAGATCTCTTATGAAGCACAAAAAAAAGACCAGAAACCACACTAGAAAGCTCACAAAGTAAACTCGAACCGTTGTAAAGGATGACAAGTAATAAAAAACTATGATGATGAAATAATTCTTTATTAATGGTAAAATTTTTTTTCTTAAAAGTAAGTTGTTGATTTTTTTTACAAAGGTAGAAGTGGAGGGGCGTGATATGGGACGCAGTAGGAGAAAAGAAGAGAAGGAGGAGGGGTAGGTAATTACTAGCTTTTTACCCGACCCGTTGGTCGGATGAATTTAGTTTTATTTATTATATTTTTATATTAATCTTTTTTTCATATTTTTAAATAATTTGGGATCGTCTAAATAATTTATTAGTGGGTTGAAACTAATATTTGTGCGAATTATTGATTGTAACATTAGTTAGTTTATAAGTATTTGTATTGATCATGCTATCGCTTACTGTTGTCTATATATTTTTAACATTTTAGAAAAAAAATCACTTCCTATTGTTAGAATAAATTACTTCAAAAATATTTCTTCATAAAATTTGATATTATTCACTTATTTTTCTATTATATCCATGAAAATAAAATAATTAAGCATTGAAGTATTAATTATAAACTCCAAGGGATTTTCCCTATTAGTAAT